CTCAAATTAATACATTAAATATTTAGAAATGAATAAATGCCACGACTTTTCTGTTGGCAATCCCTCTAAAGGTGCTGTCTGGTTTACATTCAATAGCAGGTACCTATTCGTACACACAATCGGGTGCTCAACCAAAAACTCCACCTATATCTTTTTGTTTGTCCGTGATTTCTCAAAATTGCTGTTCCCGTCATTATTAGGATAACAAATACAGTATGCTAAAAATCGGGTTGGATGATTTTCTGGTGAACCTTTCTTCTTTTGGTTATATTGACAACTCATCGAGCATTAACAAGGGACTTCTGTTTATACAGGGTGGTGCATAAAAGAAGTAAACCCACTTTTGATAGCAATTTTCACCTACTTGTTGAGCATATTTCCAAAAGTTCAATTTGATGGTATTAAAATATTGATCTTTAAACAGAAGTGACGAACAAATGATTGCAAATACATATTTTTTTCTCTGAGATATGGTACTTTAAAAATGTCATGTGTCAAACCTGTTTGTCCACGGACGGCTTTATTCCATCCGCTTGACTGAGCTCTGGAGCTTGATTTGAAGACAACAAAACACTACACTAGACTAATACGTGGACAACAGTGTTTTTGGTGACTTGTTTTCAAATTAGCATAATAATAATAATAATAATAATAATAATAAAGAGCATTTATAATGCGCCAAATCCATCTTGATTAGATGCTCAAGGCGCAGAAAAACAAACAAGTAAACAGGAACAGCAAAAACAGTAGGGAACAAAAGTACGCACAAATGAAAATACATGAATATGAAACAGTACACATGAGAGTGAAATCAAACTGGACGATTAATGAAATGCTGCTTGGAATAGGTGGGTCTTCAGAGCACATTTAAACTCATGGGAAGTAGCACTATCACGAATATTTTGAGGAAGTTTGTTCCATAACATAGGTCCAGCATGAGAAAATGAACGGTCCCCCAAGATTTAATAGTTTTAGGCACAACAAGCAGGGCCGAATTTGCAGACCTGAGGTACCTAGCAGGGTTGTAAGAAATGAGCAAATCAGAAATATATCCAGGGGCTGAACCATGTAAGCAATGAAAACAAGCAAAAGTAATTTGAAAACTATTCGAAACTGCACAGGCAGCCAATAGAGGGAACGCAGAACTGGCGTTATGTGAGTTTTACAACTAGATAGAGTAACTATGCGAGCAGCTGTGTTCTGGAGTTTCTGTATAATAATAACACTATTCTTGCGATATTTTTTTTTCAAAATTTCATCACCACGTACGGTTAAGGAACTATACTTCACTTCATTATACTTCACTGAACTATACTTCACTTCAGTTCAAATAAGTACTTAAAGTGGGTTCCCCTCTTTTTGAGCCACCATGTAGACCGTGTACACAATGGAATGTCACTTTCAACAAAAATGAGAACAACTAACTATGATGACTTGTTGATTCCCCTCCCCCCCCCCCACTCCACCCACTCAATTGGTATCAATCGGATTGAAGTAGTATTGATTAACAAACATCCTTCAATTACCCCTGATATTTCCGGGGAGAATTTACATTTATATTGGCTTCATTCCGTGGAAAAAAAGTCTCCTCTCTTTGAGCCCACTAAATCTGTAGACTTTATTCAAGGCTGTCGTAGTTCCTGCCGTAAGGCAAGCTGTTGGGTGCAATTATCTCCAGTCAAGTCTGACGGCTGGAGTAGAGGCGGCGGCTGTGCGTTCTAATAAAGGAGCGACAGTGAATGTGAAATGAATTAATGCAGTACTTGATGTGTAGAACGCTCATTCCCCGAGGAACCTCACATTGTGTATGTGCATAATAGGCCCTGGTTCCCATCGGCGCTGGCTGTTTGATGTCACCTAGACGATAGCCGCTCCTCCTCGGGTGTACTTTACAATTGATCTTTTAAGCTCACACTGTGGAAAGCTATCTACACTTGTATGAAATGGTATTGTGACTTGTTTTCTCCGAAATTGTTCTCCCAAGTTGTTGAAGCTAAACCACAAGAGTTGCACACTGAACGACCCAAGTTTAAGGCATATATGCATAATATGGTACCGGGTTAAGATAGACCTAATTAAACTGGTTAAGGTACCGTGGTTAGTTTTTAACAATTGAAATTTCCGATACTTTTCAAAGACGGCTCAAATTTAATACTACTTTTGGTAATGCTATTACGCCCTAACTACAGCAGTAGCCCCAACTATAGTTGGGACCGTCCGAAGTATAGTTGGGACTATCTCAACTTTTTTTTAGGATCGAACCAACTATACAGTTGAGACGATGCTACAGTTTGGGCGTTACAATGACAAAAACTGTAGTTTTTTTCAAGTGGAAAGTCAGGAAACCAGACCAAGAAGCGAAGTGCCAAAAATCGTCCCCATGGTGTCGAGCAGTACGCGCCCACCACTACCTGCTCTCTCACCCTGGTATTGGATCATTTGCATGTGCAAAATTTTTGAACACGTATGCAAATGGTGCCTGCCTGTTCGTTACGTTAGCGTTTGTTTTGTATGCGGTGTCCAGGGTAAAAACAGACTCAATTCGTCGCGCCGTGAGTTACGAAAACACGATTGTTTTCGAAGTTCAGTGTTGCAACCTTATCCAGCCAATATTCAGTATCACATTTCATGGTAATATGAGCAAATTGAAAAGGAAAGGAATATTTTTAAGAAGGTTTGGATGGAATAATTACAATGAACGCGAAAACACATAATGCATGCTAGAAATAACAACTACTACACGATATTAATCCATTACTAGCAAATTGCGGTATCGAATCAGGATACAGGAAGAAAGTTTCCTATCCAGGGCTTACTAACAAGGTTGGAAATAAAGTAGGTTGCCAAGAACCCTAATCCGCACTATCATGCGAGCTTGGGAGTCTGGCTACCAGACCATCTGCAGGGTCCCACTTGCAGTACAGACATACATACATACATAATGTCCCCGTGCAATTGCATATTACCTTCTGTCAGAAGGCCCATTATTGTGTTTGTACGACACACATTCAACTCTTAGCCACTGAACCCCAAGGGTTTGGCGTTCACCTTCATTTTCTCCAAGGCAAGACCATACAATGTTTCCAGGGAAGTGAACTGAACCCGGGTCGACATTTTCTCCCTCGGCACGCGCATGTCCTTCTGGGCACCGTCCCGTATTGATTCTGGAAAAATATCCACAGGCATATGTGATTTGGTCGCACGTACCTCTGGAGGGCCACAGGGGACGGGGACGAAGCACTGGCTGATCGAACGAGTGGGCGAGTTGGGATAATTATATGAAAATAAAGAAATCTGCGCGGGAAAAATATAGCTTGTATACTATCTGCGAGTTATTTGAAGAAGGCTGAGTGGCCTTATCACAGAGGCAACATTTTCTTTCGAGATTGTTAACTTAATCTCCTTGGATGTGCAGACAGACTGTCTGGACTGAAAAATAAATTTTGGGAAAGCTGACAAGTTATTGGCAAAATAGTGTCTGCCCAACAAGATTTATATTTGAAAAAAAGTAAGACTGCTGCAAACTGCTTACTGACTGGATGGATCTGAAATATATAAATCTAAAAATTAATGTGGCCTGACGTTGCGAACTTAGCAAGTTCTTCTTCAGAGGCTAAAACAGAAATGACAGAGGGTGTCATTTCTGTTTTAGCCTCTGAAGAAGAACTTGCTAAGTTCGCAACGTCAGGCCAGATTAATTTTAAGATTTATATTTGATAAATGCTGAATATGAGGCTTCATCATCACTAATTATGAACCAAGAATTTTAGCTGCGGGATAGCAGCTTAAATCACCCTGTCTCTCCATTAGTCCGTACTAATAGTAGCAAACGTTGACTTTGTCTATTGCTCTTACATATTTTGATCGATTTCATCCAAACTTTGTCAAAAGTATCAGGAGCCCAGCCCCAACAGGTCACCTGACCAAACTGGGGTCAAAGGTCATCATGGGGTCACTGGGGTCAAACACCTGATTTCTTTTACTCAAAACGCTACTTCCAGAAATTACATGGCACAATTAATCACGTGACTCATGCACGAACACGACTTTTTTGGCCCACAGCTTCAGAGATATATCCGATCGAGCTTGTTTTTTTTAGCGTCATCGTATTTTTTTCATGGAAAACGGTGAAGAAGCTTGAGAGAAAATGGCGTCGAAATAGTGAAATAATACACTCCTTTTTAGGTCAAGCCCCCTGACGCCTTAGTTTGCCTAAGTCCGGTTGGCTATGATAAATCATGGATAAAAGCACGGGTCTAATTTCTGAGATACAAGTTGAGAGATGAGTTAATGTAGTTCACGTTTACACCTGCAGGCTTTTCCCCACGCTTTCAGGCAATGATAACATTGGAGACCCTGGCCAGAATGTCCTTTTACCCTAATTTTCATTCCCGACATGAATATCATAAGACAGGGATTCTTATTGTTGCGATCGGATATTCTGGAGGCAGTACAGCATGGAGAACGGTTGCTAATCCGTGTCACGCATATAGGAGTTTCCGGGATGCTGTGAAAACGTGCGAACTGCGTCAAAAGTACAAAATTAGGCATCTGTGGTTTCATGTAAATAAATATACTGTAAAAAAAATGTTGAAAGTCTATTCGCAGCCGCTGATCCAGGATTTTTCTTTTTAAAGTGGGTGGCTTTGATGTTTGGCGTGCCGAAGTTTCCAATATTTTGTATCATGTTGGTTTGAAAGGGATTTTGTGATTTTCTTGTTTTTTATTCGCAAGCTTGTATATAATTAACTGATTTGGTATTTGCAGGGAAAAGGTGTGGGATTCTCGACGACAGAGTTATACACTATTCATAGATAACTTCACGGAAATTCTCAACTGGGTATTTTTTTTCGGTGATAAAAAGGTCATATGTGGATAATTCTTAAAATATTCATGCTTATGGTCACACCTGGGATTTGTAATACACAATCGATATCGGTAGACGTGTCTGTAAGAAAGAAAAAAAATCTTACAGCTTTCGATTTTGTTTCTTCCACCAGGCCCACCGACGGTTGTAGCTTGCAGTGTATTCGTCTTGAGTATGGACGAGGTGACCGAAGTTACAATGGTAAGTGAATACGTTAATCGTCAGGGTACTAGACTGCCGTCGTCATTTGTAAGGTCCATGTCAGTAATTATTGTCTTTTAAACATCTTGAATGAAATAGAATTATTACAAAGACATTTTGAACTGTTATTTATTTTCAAGATTTAAATGACCTTTCGCTGCGTCGTCTTCGGTGCCTGGCCGGCCGTGCATACTGACGGCACAATCGTACCTATGACAGATTGAAATATTTTCAAATCAAATTACGGCCGCAAACTTGACTTGGCATGAACTCGAGTTCGATCAGGCAAAAAAGATAAGCAAGCAGTAGGGAACAATTGCCGTTTCGATAGTTTCAAAAGATAATTGCATGCAATTTCATGAGAGCGACAACGTTATCAAATGCGAGGATCACTGGAGTTTTCCCCTGACGACCTAATTGAGTTGGGAGTAACCACTGCACTTTATGTCGTGGCTTTCGTCCGTAAATACCCTATTGTATTGACGTAAATTCCCAAGTGAGATGTCGTTGAATATTTGAGGGAGGTTTTATCATAATTTGGTTTCTTATGATTGGCTTTAACGGGGCATTTCGCCTGAAATCCTGTAAACATTTTATGATTTGAACAGAACCTTGAACATACCTTGAAGGCCACATCCATCTTCACGTCATGTAGAAGAGAAGTGTAGCAGGGGTTAAGGGGGCTTCATTTGCCCATTAGAAACCCAAGTTACTTAAGTTCTGCTTGAAGCAGAGAAGTGTGGGTGTTTGAATGGCACTCTCAGGCAATTTGTTCCAGCTATCCACTATACCCTCTGGCTGTAGAAGTGCTTTCTTACATCAAGTCTTGGTCTGGATTTGGCTAGTTTCTGTGAATGTCCTCTAGATCTGGTACCCAGGTAGTGAGCTTTCTGACATATTGAGTCTGAATTGATCCTGTCGATTCGAGTCATGATTTTGTAGGTTTGGATGAGATCTCCCCTTTCCCCATACCTTTTGGATTGTTTACTTAACCTATTTCAAAGGTCTTGTTGAAAGGAAACTAACCTAATGTCGCACTGTTCCTGAGAAAAGACGAACAATTCCAGTGGTTTACTTTTGACGCGGCGGACGTTTTGTGGCATACGCATGTACGTATTTCCAGCCATGTCCATTCAATGTACAGTACACGTTGTGTTTACCAAAACACAAATCTTGTTCCTCGCACGTCCGCAGAATGCGATGCACTGGGGCAGGAATCATGACTAGCACTCAACAGCTCGTTTTTGATGGTCAACAATTTTAACCACGAAATTCGTTCTCGCGCGCCATCACAAGAATAACACAAAACGCCCAGATTTTTGAAAATAGTTCTCTTTCCAATTATCATCATTTCGTTCAAAACGCGCTTTGTAGCCCATTTCAGCCTTTCCGGGACGTTCAATATCCATTTAAGCTGAATCGCATGTCACATAAGGTATACTGTATATTTTTATGCTAGCAAATAAGTCGCTTTTAGTGAACTGAGCATGAACAGAAATGACATTAGCGCAAAAATGTCCAATGGCCATGCGCTTCCAAGCGTCATTGTGCTTCAAATAAACTCAAATGTGCTCAATTCGATTTCATTATTAATTCGCTCGATCGTGCCCAACAGTCGGTTCTTAGGTCGGTAGTACTTGCTGATCCGCTTTGTACCGAATCTCTAAACAGAAACGCAAAGGGTTGTGGATAAAGGCATTGCCATAACCAAGCGTCATAGCACCAGCTTGGCGAATAGTTATGGCGTACTTTATCTGGGCACGGAGAAATGGCGTGCTTATACCATTTTAAGTGTCTTTGCTAACTGAAAGTTCTGCGTTAATACGGTGAGCGTGGTTCACGGATCGACAAGGCATTGTGGTCTGTGCGCATGCGTACATGCATAATGTGCTTGAAGGGTAAATGTGAAATCTCTGAGCTAGGACTTTTACTTTTTAGTAGAGAATAATGATCATGTACGCAGGATTAGGTGATTATGACCGAGAGCCAAGAAGTGTTGCCCTTCCTTCCGCAAAAGTGCTTACATACAGATAGAGTGGAATGCCGTAGCCTCGTGGTCTGGAGCCTTGAATTCGTAGTCTGCGGATAATTCTGCAGGTTGTGGGTTCGAATCCAGCTTGGCGTTGTGGTGCGTGTGCCCTTGGGCAAGGCACTTTGTCACTCATTGCTTCTCTCCTCCCAGGAGTAAATGAGTAACTGTGAGGGCACAGATGTGTGTTTTTTGGGTTTTTTGCGGTTGATTTTAGCTGCTTTGCGCCGAAATGGCTGCATTGAGCTGTATACTCCCCTGGGAGCTGAGATTGTCTTTGGAATGTTTCATTTGCCCAATGAGCAGGGTAATAATGATATAGCGCCTTGGGCACCAACTGCCCTGGTGGATATGTGCAATTTATAAATGCATGTACACATTATTATTATCGAGAGCGCTCGTTGCGCTTGAAAAAGTATGCGGACTGTGGTCCCATATGGTCGTGTGGGCAAATTTTGACATTGAAGTATTTTGTCAATCGCAAAAAAGGTAATTAAATCAACCATTTTTGTCACTAGGACTACGGGATGACCATCCTTCTGGAAGAGTACTGGAACGATCCGCGCATGGCCTTCGCCAACTACAGCACGCTACCTTACATCTCTTCCGGCATGAGTGTCGCAGAAAAGATCTGGGTACCAGACCTGTTCTTCGCCAACGAGAAACGGGCCAGCTTCCATGAGGTCACCGTCCACAATAGGCTGATCAGGGTATACCCCGACGGGGATATTTTCTACAGTATGAAGTAAGTCAATAATAAGCAACAGATTGATAAGCCATTAAGGCTATATCCCTATTGGAATATATTTTAAGGTACAGAGTGTCCCAAAAAGTGCAACATGCAGAAACAAATAATTAAATAAAAACTGCTTTATAATGTTTTCTCTTCGATAAAATTATACATTACATTAAAGCCTGACTATTTCTTAATCAATTCTTTTTAACCCCCATTCCCCATTCCTCTTAAGTGAAAGGGTGTAAATTTTGTTTGGGACACTCTCAAGTTGTGGCCGACTTGATGATGATGATGACTCTCACCTGTGATGTCATCATCTTCAATTCCTATTAGGCCTAAAAGCTTAACTCGGATTCAGCAAGTCCAGGTGAGAGTGGCCCAAGTACAATTTACACCCTTTCACTTAATCGATTGTATTTCTGGATCTAGAGACCCAAATGGTATGGGGTGAACAGGAGTGTCTTGACAAATAGTCAGGCTTTAATGTAATGTATCATTTCATTGAAGAAAAAAAGCATGAAACATATTTAGTTATTTGTTTTCTTAATGTTGCACTTTTTTGGCACACTCTGTATATATTTTTTTATTTTAGTACACTGAGGTCACCGCATAGTGGCTTGATATTTTAAGTCTAATGAATATTCAGTTCGTAAGAGGGTGTTTTTTTTTCAATGAGTCGGAGCGAAAAAAGTTCCGAGGTCATGCGGTAATGAATATGCATTTTACTTGACCTCACAGTAAAAGTAGCGCATGCGCATAAACGTAAGGACGCCTGCACTGCAACTGGAACAGCAGTGACAGCCCACAAACCACAGTTGACGTGTTAGAGCGTACCCCGATGGGGATATATTTCACAGTATGAAAGTAGTGAGATTTCACAACAGAGTGATCATGGTGTACCTTGATGTGGATATATTCTACCATAATAAAGTGAGTCCGTTAAAATCGTCCTCCACAGTAGCCTGTTCAGGGTATATCCAGATGGGGATATATTCAGACAGTGTGAAAAAAGTCCGTTGAACCCCCATGGCAGTAGACGCCTCTTCCCTTAAAGAAGTGATATTATTTTATCAAGAGTTCATCAGCCAGAGAGGATTTAACTTGCCATATTGTCTGGATCATTTTAGAATCGATGGACGTCTGTGTTCTTAGACGATAACGTCTCAGCATAAGATAACATGTCCAATTTCATTTTGTGTGCATTCCAAATCTTCGTGCGCCATACTAGCTAAATTGCCAAATCACGACTTGTACGGCACGGGCTAAAGAACATTTCAGCTGCGTCATTGTGAGGTACAATGACCTTTGCAAGTAGCATTTTAAGTCTCACTTTAGATTGTTATTGGTTATTCATAAATACCTGATGCAGTTTACCCATTGGTCGAGTGCCCGTCACGTGGCCATTCTTAAACGGATGGTAAAGACATGGCTGGCTGGTCTTAAACACTTTTCCAGTGTCACATGAAATGTTGACTCCCATGAAATCCGGTGCCTTTTAACGTTTCACTGGTTGAACGTTCACAATCCTCACGTATGCATGCACTCACGTAGGCATCACGTATAGGCATGTGCTGATAATTACCCTCGGCTTCGCCTGGGGTTTATCACCCATCCAGACTTCAACCGGTCTTAAACAGAGTTTTTAATACCTCCCAAACACACACATTTATTCGCTTATTGTATAAACCAGTGTTTAGATATCCTTTAAAAGCATACCACTTCCAGATAAAGACATAATTCTTCTTTGTCTCCTCTCACAAGGTTTTTTTTTTTCAGAGAGGAAATATTGTAGATGATAAAACAGTAAAATATCTATATACGTCTCTCTTAATATCTTTTTAAAAAAATTCTGGATCACGTGATCAAGTTTTACTCACGTGTGATTGGTTGAAAGTTTGGCTGGTTTATTAACCCTCGCTCAAGGCATTTTCCTTGTTCCCAGGGGATTTTCTGCTTCCAGTTAATATCTCCATCGAAAATCGCTTTCGGTTTTTTTTTTTATCTTTCTCTTTGATTTCACTCCCACAAAACTGTCACCATGTTAGCACTTAACTTGTTGCTAAGAGACCGGCTGCATCCTTGAGAAAATTACAAGGAGGAAAGCGGAAGGTGGTTGCACTCAGAGGATGCAGAGGGCTTAAGTGCAAAGCTTGATTTTCTTATCGTATAGACGGCTCATCAAATCGCCATGGGTCAAATATGAAATTTGGAAATCGCACATTTTATTAATAGCGGTCTTTGGTAATGTACTTATGTGATTCATATCTATATATATTGAACTGGTTTAAGAGTATTAGTGCGAAAAAAGGGTCATGTTTTAGTTGAAACCCTTTTTTTCCCTATTACAGCTCATGGGAAAAGATACAATTTGGATCATATCTTGGTATAAGTCTGGCTTCGGGCTGCTTCTGCGTTAAACTCCATTTGTGGGCCAGTCGGCAAAAACTGGGCCACAGACTCCTCGGATGTCATTAGTGCGGTAGCATCGGATGATTCGACTGCGATACTATTAAGCGTATCCACCTGACGTTTCGCAAAATACTCCGAGGAGCTACAAATCTGTGATATGAGAGAAGATTCGAAAAGGTTGCTTTCCAAATATTTATTTCTCGCGGTTTGACCCAGAATTGCAAATAGTGCAAAAAGACAGAAGCTAGACATATGCAAACCGTGTTTTCGATTCAAAGCAATTTTCAATTTTTCATCAATAAACTCGTTATAGTTGATTGACAATGACAAGTTAGCAAAGTCGACAGTGCTCGTTTGATAATCGTACATAAGCCGACAGTGGCTAGGGTTCGATAGGCATTTGTGCAGGTAATATACCACTGATGCTTCTTATTAGCTCTTGCGCGAATGTGTGGGTCCACGGCACTTAATTTATTTCGAGTTTCAGAGTTTATACAAGCATTTACCATCCAGCCCCTGCGGTTGCCGGGTCTCGTTATACGGAGTAGTGGAGGGGCCTCCGTGCCGTGCTAGGCAACCTTGGAGAAAGGCACAAGTTATTGGATAACAGGATGTTGGGTTGAAATTATTCCGCAGTCAGGATGTTCCGCTAGGGCAATATTAGATATATTCCCGGCAATTTAAACACAGTATTTCTCGGGAAGGTACAGTCTAGCGCCAGTTCCACCTGGTGAGGTTAATTTGTAACACTTGTCATGAGCCGGATCGTCTTAAGCTCACTGTTCCGTGTCTTGACGATCATTCGATCGAGAAGGGACATATAAATGACATGCTTACTTCCCAAGCGACACCAGGAGGAGATTTTTAAGGAACTACTCCATGCAGTGGAATGACGAATAGAAAACGCAAAATATGCCCTAAAGTGTGATCGTTATCGATGATACCTGTTGGAATAACAGCTCCTTCAAAGAAATGAAATTGTTCAATTCGGATTGGTGCTAAAATACGAGCCACTTTTGGAATGGAATGTACGTGTCGTTATATGAAGGTTTAGTTAAATGTCATTTTTATTATAGAATAATACAGGTTTGATTATCGCAAAGAATGTCAACTGTTTTCAAATGAACTCAAAGTTATATTTATAATATATAGATATACATTGTTTTGTTAAAATCATTGTGTTTTGATGGAATGTAAGTGCCCCTTTCTTAAAGCTATTAGATCATATTTAATAGAGAATAATACAGGTGTGTATTTTGTTGTAATGTAAAGCGGAATAAAAAAAAAAAAAAAAAAAAAAAAAAACCTTTGGGAATAAAAAAAAAAAAAAAAAAAAAAAAAACCTTTGGGAATAAAAAAAAAAAAACAAAAAAAAAAACGAGCATTAAGCTCAAACTGAGATAAATTCAGAAATGAATATTTGACAAGTTTCCAAAAACATGTCCGCACTTTACTAGCCGTTGGTGGCATTCTAGGCATGTTGTCCACGGAAATACATTATACATCAGCATTCAAGAAAGTGAATAGTCATTATATGTAAATTAAGTTATGACGACACGTTCGTTTTTAGCTACGGGATAGCTGCTCAACCAATCATCATGTCTCTCCGTTAGTAGTTAGTTAGCAACAAACGTTGACATTGTCTATTGCTCCTACATATTTTGACCGATTTCAACCAAATTTTGTCAAAAGTATCAGTAGCCCAGCCCCAACATGTCACATGACCAAACTGGGGTCAAAACTCAAAACACTACTCCGTCCAGAAATTGCACGGCACAACTCACGTAACTCATGCATAATCACGAATTCGTTGTCCCGCAGCTTCCGAGATATTTCCGATCGAGTTCGTTAAATAAATGAGTGGTTGCGGCAACAGATTCAAATCTGCTTTTTGTTCAACACTGTGAATGGACGTCGCGATTTAATTTAAATAGCATGATAATTATACTGTATATAAAGTGAACTTAATTTATGCTGAATATTGTTAATGTTTAAAAAACATCATGGGCCTTATGCACGGGTTGGCCATTTTTGTCGAGTTCCGAATTCCCTAAATGTATTTCATTTATTGTTAACTATTGAATGGGATGGCGCCAGACTGTTTATGCAGGCATAATGCAGCCTTATTTTACTGTCATTTTTTTTTAAATTAGGCTTTAAACACTAGGGAATGTTAAATTACAAATTACAAATTATTCATTGAAGCAGACTGGAATTAATTAGTTATTAAATTGCTTTCACTTCTCTTCGCAAGTTCCAAAAATTAAGATTTTTACCTCACTTTCAATTCAATATGGCCGACTCGTGCATAAGGCACACGGAGTTGCTTAGAGTTGCTCTTTAAAGTAACTCATGTAATATGGATGGAACAGACGTGATCACAGCGTGTCCTCCCCCTCAACCGCGACCGTGACAGCAGGCAGCAGATGGGGCACGAACAGAACTGGTTCAAGATCGAGTAGATATCAAAACCAGCTGGAGACGCGACTAACTTTAACCTCATTTCAAGCCTGAAGTCACGACATTGGCTGCGCGGTTCTGTATAGAGCTGCAGCATTCGAAATACTCAAGGCAGAACCCCCGTGATTTTCATCTCTAGACATATATATGGTGGTCTTTAATTCAGATATGCGGTTCTTCAATATAAGGCTGTTGTTATTCCTGATGAGAGAAACGATAGTGACCTTCCGTTTAATTCATCAGCAATCCGCATATACTGATAATTGAGTTTTGCTGCTTCAGAAAACAAAGACCTGCACGGCTGCACTGGAGGCAAGCGTGCCTTGTTGATGTAACAGCAACATAATCTGCTGAACATGAGGAGGAAGATGTCTTGCTATAATGTGATTTCTTTAGATTGGCCTGGCTTGGACGAAAGCCCGTCCTTGTCACGTTTACTGAAAAGGACACTACGACCAAGGCTGTAACATGATTGTTCCTTATATAAAAAGGCCTTGGTAAAAACAGAATCATATCGATTTGTATTCTCCATTCAAGCTCGATGAATTGATAAAAGCAAAATCTTGTAACACTCCTTTTCTTTATCAGATCAAAGGAATGTCTCTCAAATTCAGAGGTTCGAGATGTAGCCCGATGAAATTACTTATTCAATCTGCATCTCAAGGAAGTCTACCACGAATATTTATAAGCTATTGTAAATTAATTATGAACAATTATCAAAGGGCCACTAGCAATTCGCTGTTACGTCTGTCTTGCTTGGAATCTCATAATCACCCTTTAATCGGTTTTTCACTTCAACCAATTGGTTCTTTTAAAACGGTATCACTCTTAATCCGAAGCCATAGGCGCAGTTTTTATTTATTTACAGAGACCTTTTGGGATCGAGCATAACGACTCACACGTGTACACGAATATATTCCAGTGTGCACCGAATGTCACATTATGGCCAGCGCCCGTCTGGCAAAAACAACATTAATGCCACTTTACGTGTTTGTGTCCGCCGAATCGCAAATGTCAATCGTGGAATAACAGTCCCGTATGATGTATATACAAAGACTCTATACTCAGTCGGGTTAAAAAGTCATCACTTAACAGCCTCTATGATTCACCTTGAACTAAGGGATTGCTGTCTTAAATGAAACAGAAAAGCAACCTAAAGCTTAGCTTTTACGGTGTGAGGTATATTTATTTACGGTAACATTTTGTGCAGAGTGGCAGTAAATGCTATAGACCATGTCGTATGTGACGTTAGACATGTGGAATAAACATATAGGCGTCAACATCTACCCACAAGACTACAGTCTCCCTCTGAGTCTCATGTTTTTTTCGCCCTTCTGCACACTGCTTTATTAACGTTCACTTACAGCATTTTAAAGCCATCCAATATTTCAAGTTTAGGCCTGTACAGTGCAACTTCTCCGTTTACTTGACTTGTACCATTACTTCCCAATATAGTGAGTTGCATATAGGGCTTATTTCATCCTCGAACAACCTGCCAGCTTGTTTTGACTCCTATTCATTCAGTTTACACACGTTGGAAACAGTGTTGCCTATCTAGTGTCATAAACCAACCAGTACAATTCCCACTGAATTTTTGATAACGTGCAAATAGGTCTTCACTACGCCAAACATGTTGATCACTCAATTCGAGTAATTGTCGTTCACAATTGACGGTTTAGGAAAGAATATACTGGTACTCCGTCTCACCCGAGATCGGCACAGTTAACTTTGATGATTGCAAGCTAAATTCCGTCGGTGTTGACATCTTCCATTTTTTTAAAAACGAAAAGCCTGTCGTTTACAGTCTTGGAACAGAATTTGTAAAATATTCAAAGAAACACATTGATATACATGTACATGTGTACAGGTTCAACGTTCCACCGTCGACTTCTTCAAATTTAATCATGCATGTTATTATTGAATAAGGCTCGTTCATTATGATTTGGGGGAAAAGCTTTTGTTGAAGACGATGCTATGCGGATTGCAAATTCGATTTTCTGAAAAGTCTAATTCGGTTATTGATGTGCCTTGTTGTCTCACACTATATGGTCTGGTCCTCTTATACCATTTACATCGTACTCTGTGGATACCAATCAGGTACCAGCCATTTTAAAGAAAGCTAATTTGTATTCGGTTGCCGGATTAACGGGATTTGTCATCTTGAATCAAACAAAAAAAATGAAGAAAAGAAGCAGATGTTGACAATTCATAGCAATTGAGTTACATATTCCTGTCTACGCGTAATTTTGATTTGTTCAATTTGTTCAATGTATGTGTGTGTTTCCGCAGATTGAGTCTGGTGCTGTACTGTCACATGGATTTCAAGGCTTTCCCGATGGATAAGCAGAGGTGCATGACCGCCATTGAAAGCTGTAAGTTTGTAAAGTAGAGGAGATACATTTTTTTTTTAGCTTAGGGGTATTAACTTCAAAAAACAAAAAGAGGTCTAATTTTTGTTCCTGCATGGAATTATACCAATAATTTAAAAGATATTTAAAAAAATGAGAATATACATTCTGGCACAATTGTTTCATTAATGAAATTCATGCATTTCGATGTGCAACTGCAATTATTTCTACGGCTTTCCTCAATTTGGTGTTGCATGGTAACCACTTCACTATCAATTAGGCACACTTAACCGAGCCATGTCCGTTTCGAGACCAGTAATTGGTTGTCGAGTGCCGGCGATCGTTAAGCACACATCGCGCAGAAGTTACCAAGCTGAATCAACGCTAACAAGCCTTGAAATGACAATGAGATAATTCGGGGCGTCATTCTGTCGAGTGTTGAAAACAAAAAAGCCGGAACTCTTCCTAATTGCTTTCTATCCTATACTGGGAATGTTCGTGCTCCCAGATCTCTTAAACAAACATCGCTTTTTATTGCTATAAGAATTGTGTTTTTTGAACGGCGGTACACGTGGCTTTTTTTTTTAAATCAGGTGCTGGGTTGTGCTATTTTTTATTAAAAATAAGTTATTTAAACCAAAGCAAAGCCCATAATGCAGATATTCATTAAATCGATTTACGTATTTTTTTTTTTAAAGAAATACAAATTGTACAGTTTTATAACTTATACCAGTATTTATTGTTTTATATTCAGTCCAGAAAAACAACATGCAAATAGAGAGTGTGCTGACATGAAATTGGTAAACATATTTACCAGATAAAATATTTTGAATGACCTTAAAGAATGAATTTTGCATCTTAAGAAGCAACACACAATACAAACAAAACGCTCAAAACGCAAAACGACCTTTGTCAAACCTTTTATCAAAAAGAAAATTGGACCTTTTTTTTCTCTCAGTAGATAAGATGCCCAACTCAATCTGCTAGTCTCGGTTTCACGGTTTTTTCCCCCATTTGTCAAAGGTTGACTGCCCGGTCGAACACGGGAAAATGGCATAATCTATTCCGACTTTGTTATCAAATTCTATACCTCCGCAGCAATACAGCATACGTCAGCAATATCTAAGCCCTTTGCAGTCCGAAGTACCTCGTCTTTTTATGCGCAGATTACAAGTCAAGATAAAGTGAAATGCTGTAAATATAAAACGCTCTATCTATCGACTGAAATTAATGGTGACTGCGACAGTGCCCCATTTCTATCATTAAACACTTTCGTAGATTTATATGGACGCCCGCTGAGCTCAGCAGGAGACGAGCAAGAAACATTAGACGTGGTAAAACTCCATGGATATTTTCTTACCTTAAAAGCATTTCTTGCTTCCATGGTGACCATTTTAGCCGAATTTCGGCTAAATTTGACAGAATTTTTCGTAAAAAACGAGTTTGACAGAAAATTTGACAGAATGGATTTTTTGGCAGATTTCTGGCAGAATTATCCAAAAATAGTTATTTAACAGAAAAACGTAGCAAATTTGAAAACAATGCCCGGTACATTTGTTTAAAAAAAGCTTCAATCTATTTAAGCAAACCCTTGCATAAATGGGACAGTTTGCCTTGTGTAGCTTCTGAGGTTCACTTGGATACGGATTTTGCATGAAATTTACGCAACTTCATAACATCTTTATGTGACTACACATAAACACATAACTTTATGTTTATAACATAATTTTTTGAACCTTAATTAAGGCAATACTACAACATCTGCATGTGATTTTAAGTGTTTATAGTGTATTTCCAGTGATTCTGGGGAATTTGGCAGATTTTTGATCAAATTGACAGATTTTTGAAGTGCATTTAGCAGAATTTGGGCATGACCTTACGGTCACCCTGCTTGCTTCCTATCACATATTCACATTTAATGTTTGTCCGCATTGCCAGGGATGTTCTCTGATGTAAATCATGCATCCCATTAATTTCCGAGCAGTTGCAAATTCCGTACGCTGGCATCTAATCAAAAATGCAATGAAATGCTTTGGTTAAAGGGGTTAATTGAAGTCGTAAATCCGTGGTAAAGTCTTACCCCAGCCGCCATAAGATACGGATCGCATGCACTGAGTCAATTTGTTTTTGTTCATTCTGTAGCTGGGGATGTACCTCAAAGTGTGGGGCGTAAACGTTACCGCTTCATGCGCGAAGTATACTTACACATCTGTTTAGGTGTGATGTTTATCTCAAAATACTGTCAAGTTTCAAATTTGTGTCAAGTTTTACCTGCTGTTTTTAAATTTAGGGTACAATATTGATACAAGCTGCCACTGAAGATCAGTGCATATCTGTATTTACAAAAATACGTTCACTTCTGTAAACCATGATTGTAACCAAAACAGATGCATATTTTGTAATTCCCCATTGTGTAGTCTATGGAATATCCCCTTGTACAGCAAGGGTCTATGATAATTTTGCGAGCAGATTCGGCGATTAATATTATGCAAAATAAGACTGCGTCTTGACCTCGAGATTCTAACCATTCAGCGGGCGCTTTCTAGATTTATCGAGTGTTCGGTAATCCGTTGTTGTATTATACACAAAATACGGCAGCCAAATTGACCAAACAACAGCGTAGTCCACATTACTGATCGAAATGACGTCACAGTTTCGACTCCGATTGGCTGGGGCGTGGGATCGCGTAAAATTTGCATGCTGACATGATATCAGACGTTTATACGCGGAGATGGCTCCGTTGAACAACGGGTGATACTCAGACGACTTGTGTAGACGGATCAGACACGTGATAACCCTTCCCACAAGGGACACCTCAAACATGGCCCTTGCAATGTGACAGCCCCTGCTCAATAAATGCATTATCGCAGCCAAAGGCAAGCAGAAGATAACACAGAGAAAGCAAAAAATGAAAGCTAAAAGAAAACACACCCTCGGGTGCACCCAAGTGTATTCCATCATGTACACAGTTCTGTCATTATCTTCTTTCAGCACTTAAGCATTGACCTGTACAACAAGCACTTAAGATAATCCTTATGTACACCTTCCCCTCGTGTCAGATCAAAGCACGGAGGATGAGCTGATCGTCTTATGGAAGATGCCTAACCCCGTCACGGTGGGACCCGAAATCAGCTTACCGCAGTACGCCATGCAGAGGGATATTCCCTTCGGTATATGCCACAACCGCGTGTCTACAGGTCCCTCCAACGGTAAGTTATAGTGTCCTGTCTCGATCCGGGTCAAGGGTCAAAGCTTAACTCGATCACTCTGGGTCGAGAATGACATTGTGATCGAGACTTGGCCTGGTCATACTCTGAAAAGTCCCGGGTCAACATTGACCCGGAATCCGGGTTGTAGTTGACCTGAGTACTTTTCAGGGTCAAAATGGTGACACCAAAATGACACTTCTCCATTTTTAGTACGGCAGAATGATGGGTGATGTGATTGTACCTTTGATGATACAGTCAGAGTATGTCATGAGAAAGGTATTTGGCTATAGGGCCATCGCAGATGTGCCCCTTGGGAAAAAAAATTGGTAGAATAACAAGCAATGGCAGCCATTTTGAAAATTATGGAAATTGCTTGTTATTCTACCTATATATTTCCTAAGGACAAATCTGCGATGGCCATATAGCCAAATATCTTTCTCATGACATACTCTGAATGTGTACCAAATGCCATGATTGTATCATCAAAGTCACAATTCCCCAAAATAACTCCCCTATCCACCCCACTATGCTGGCCCTGAATCGGACCTTTTAGATAGTGCATGTGTTTTAAGACTCTTTTCACATGATAGCTTTGGAGTTTTTTTTTTAATATGTGCTTGAGAAATATCGGAGAACGGGCCACCGAGTGAAAGGAACTCGAGGTTTATGCATTCCTTGAGCGTAAGGAGAATGCCACTTGCGAGCAATGGCTTAATTGGAATCTTTTCTGTAGGTGATCGATCTTCGAGGTCCGTGAGTAACTGTGGGAAAATGTCTGGGGAAAAGGGGGCATCACAGTTTCGCTACATTTGAGAAATTCTGGGGAAACATCTTCAATTAGGTCAAGGCAGGCTTTTTTTGGTAAGGGTGTTGACACAGTTTATGTTTTATATGGCTCCCGTACTCTTGGGCAGTCCGATTAGTCCAGATTGCAAGAAACAGCTTGGTTCAATAAATCGTCTCCTTTGGGGTGTTTTCTAAAAGATAAATGCTATCTTTTCAACGTGGCTTCTTTTTTGCTTCTGTTTTTCCCCTTCTTTCTAGCTCTTCCCACTCAGCGATATGATTTAATGATTGATAAGAATCCTCCCATGTCCTTTCCCCGTTCGCCCCAGATCTGTCACCCACATCAAATCTGCATTGTATAAACTCACAGGACTCTTGAAGACTGGAAAGAGAAGTCAGTTTCGACTGTTCCACTTTTTGATGACAGACTCACAAGATAGAGTCGCTAAACCTGCGAGGGATCCTCAGCGAACGCTCAACTCTATTTTCCTTAAATTACCAACGCTTGAGGGCTCACTTTACCCCCTTTGGTCATCCGAACCGGCTGGCCGTGCGATGTGGGAAGAGCCAGATATAACGATATTATGTCTGTAGTCGGATCCTCGCGTTTGCCTCCCGCTCCCGGGGTGCTCCTTTTATTAACAGGAAATTCGACCGGTATTGGGGCATCAAAACTTGATAATTGCTATCACTTTACGGTAAGCCTGCGTTTATAGGGCGTCACTATATACACCCCGCCCGTAGGGCCGACTCATAATTGGTCTTAAAGATTTCTTTTTTTCCAACAATTGTATTCGCCGATTTAGAAATCAATATTTGCGCCGTATTCTTGTTCCAGGTCAACTGTGGGCATCGGTTCATGTCTGGGTTGTTTTTTAGAGAGTGTCATGATAAGTCATTTGAGACTCAGAGGTGGGTAAAATATGTTGTTCCGAGAAATTCTGTATGCCTTATGCGGCGAGGCGCATTCTAACGTTGTACATCTCCTCAGTATAACCCGATGGATCAAATTTAACATTTAAAGTGTCAATATGGTCAGTCGGCCATCCGTTGTATTTTACCTTATTTGATCTTATTTCCATCCAAGCTAGAACAGCGTGCCCTTATTTTGTTTAATTTATGGTAAAACATTTGAGTCCTTTCAATAATTTTTCTCTCAGTCGGTTTTTTCTTTGTACATGTTTGTAGTTTGACTTTGAAACTTCTGTTATGTTAAAGTCACCCCACAATTTGCATGCCGGACGCGCGTATTCTCTTAGGATCCTTCAACAAAATCGATTATTTTGGACAGATTAGTAACAAATAACGATAGACTATGCTTGGTAATTACTTCTCTACGACGTAAAGCAGTTCGACCCCCATTCCAATTTCTGGTAATGCTGGTTATTATTATTTTTTTCAAAGTAAGGCATTTTTGTTGTTTACCTTCGGTACGTGCCCAAGATCATTTTCTTCATTTTGGTAATGATCAAAAAAATCCTTTTGCAATGTAACATTTATTTTTACCATGATCAAATCGGTCGAGTTCCTGTGGAGGCACTATATCCTTTCCTTTTTTCTTTTTTTTAAACCTAAATCCGGATTCGAATCCCATTTGCAAAATTGCATTTTTGTTTCGGTCCATCCGATCCATGATTCCGTGGGTTTCCCCCGGGGATTTAACCTTTTTCGTTCCCAATCTAAAAACTTTGTCTCATCTTGCCGATTTCTTCAGGCTTGCGGGCTCTAATGTGCCCTGAGCGCTTCGGGGGAATCATTGGTTTCATTACCATGAAGAAAACAGTTTTAACTTCGCAAGCCGCGTCACTTCCGAATGTTCTCAACTTCCAATTCCCAAGCTTTGTAGCATTGATGATGTTATATGCGTCTGGAATTTGGACTTATTCCCTGGCCGCATAGCACATAATGGCTTCTGGCTAGGGACGCATGAACAGATATATCGACCATTTAGAAGACTGTTTATACATGTAAGGGCTGGATAGCTCAGCTGGTATGCAGCGCCAGTTTGTGATTCTGAAGTAGCGGGTTCAATTCCCGCTCAAAAAAAGGAATCTATTGAATGTCCCATTGTACTATTTTCTGATAATTTATTATAAGCCAAAGTAAAACCTACAACTGTTTAAACCGAAGAGAAACGGTCATTGTTGTTGTAGTCGAATTACAAGTCCTCACAAGTCACATTAAAGCTATAGTCCATCATTTGCAGCTATCCGAAAAGTAGCTTTCGTAATTATTGTTGAAAAACATACTTGGTTGAAAGATAGTAAGGGGACTAAACTCTCTGTGAAATTATTCATTCTGGCAAGCTGTCATTTTGAAGTAATCAAAGAAAGAAGGCCTTTCCAACGGTGCTTCTTAAGACGCACCGTAGGAAAATTTAAATTAGTAGTTCGTTTTGTTATTCGGGGAAGCGCGCGCAAGCATTGGCACGACGCACACGCACCCTCGGTTGCTATAATTCGTCAGATCAGTGCACGACATCGCGTAGCTGCATTCGGCTCAGCGAGAACGTGTCTCGGACGCTGAATTCAGGCGCAATTCAAAACATGATTCAGCAACTTTTGATTTGAAATTGAGATCCCAGAATGCTGTTTTTCTCAGAATATATAGCTGAAGCTGAGCTGAAACTTTATCAGGTTAGTTGTTCAGTACCCTTCTTTAGATTTTGAGCACTTTTGTTGCTTCAAACGAACAAAATGCACAAATTACAAATGATGGACTATAACTTTAAGGCTACATGTATTCAAATTGAACTGTGTCAAAGGCATTCATTTGTTATTGTTCAAACCCTGACACTTGCAAAAATTAAACTGATTTTGGAAAAGAGCTAAAACTGCAGAAACCCTTGAATATTGATAATATCGATTTTCGAATAAATTGAAGGATTATACTAATTGAGTGATTACATTGGGGTTTTTTCTGGTGATTTTACAATCCTATCAAATATCTGATATAGTTGTTGGTTTTTATCCACATGTGGCCTAGTCTATGTAATAGACCATAGCGAAAGCCATGGTCTATAATTTTGGAACAGATTTGCTGATTAATTATGCAAGACAACCGTATCTTGACCTCTAGCTTTTGACCAATCAGCGGGCGCTTTCTATGTCGGGTCTTCGGTCATTCATCCGTTGTCGCGTCGAGACATGGATTAAAAAAACCGCTAGACACAGCAACAAAGGCCGTGGTCACGCGCTCTGTATTATGTTTCGCTACAAGCGCGCGGCTGTTGTATTACAAAACACTGCATTCGAATTGACCAATCATAGTTTTAGTCCTGATTTGGGAATGAAATGACGTCACGATTTTAGTAAAGTCGACTCCGATTGGCTGGCGCGCGGCTTGCATTATATCTGCATGTTTAGACATATCAGACGTTATACAGGAGACTTGGCTCCGTGGATAACGTATGGTACTCAGACTACATGTGGCCATAACAGGAATCGAACCTGGGCCATAGCGGTGGAAGGTGAGGAAAGAACCAACCTAACTGGTTACAGGAAGGAGATTTCAACTTCTGTATGTTTGGTTTTGTCAGTTTGTTTAATTGTTTGTTTATTGTCCCCTGTATCCAGCCAACTTCTCTTGCATCCAGTTCAGCTTCACGCTGGTTCGCGAGCTGACCTTCTACATCATCCAGACCTACATCCCTACGTCATTGCTGGTACTCATCTCCTGGGTGTCCTTCTGGATCGACATCGGCCAAGCAGCGGCGAGGGTGTCGTTGGGCGTGACCACTGTCCTCACCATGACAACCACTACCGTTGGATACGGCGCGTTTGCCGGCTTGCCCAAAGTTTCTTATACAAAGGTAACTTGCTTACTTTATTCTACCATGGACAAACCTCGTCCCCAGGGCTTACTTTATTTTCAACCTCGTTTCCACTAGGAACCGCTGGGTTGGAATCTTGCTTCCTGTATCCTGATTCGATACCGTAATAGCCAGATATTGCTTTATATCGTGTACTTGGTGATTTTTGAAATAATTTTTGAAACAAAACACGTGTTTTCGGATCTCACGCCTTTACGACATGATCCCGTACGTATGTACCCGGACACCGCATTCAAAAACACAAGGATTTAAAGCACGGGCAGGCACCAGACTACTCCGTGCCTAATTTGCACGCGCAATATTTTTGAACATGCAATTTAATCCAATACCAGGGCGAGAGAACAGGTAGCGGGAACGTACTGCTCGACACTATGGGACCGAGGTTGACAATGGACATTTCCCCTTTTTTTGTGCTAGAAACCGGTTTTTTAACACTTTGACTAAGTTTTTGTCATTGCCACTGCCACCGCCACTGCCACCGCCACTGCCACCAAGTGTCGTTGTCGTATACATACAGTATTTTGGCATCTATATTAAACCACTTGTCGAATAGAGATACCCATATACGGTGACACCGCTTGTGTGCATTGTAGATTATGATTTTTTTAGCAGAATTTTAAACAAGTCAGGCACAAGTCAATCATACTATTCAAATGGGCCTTATTCACGAGTTGGCCATTTTGTCGAGTTCCCTGAATGTATTTTATTAACTGTTAACTGTTGAATGGGATGGCGCCAGACTATTTGTGCAGGCACAATGCAGCCTTATTTTACTGTCATTTTTTATTTTAATATGGCTTAAAACATTAGGGAATGTTTAATTACAAATTTGAAATTATTCATTGAAGCAGATTGAAATTTGTTATCAATTAAATTGCTTTCTTTTCTCTTCGCAATTTCCGAAATGTAAGATTTTACCTCACTTTCAATTCAATATGGCCAACTCGTGAATAAGGCCCATTAGCTGTGTCAAAGGTTTTTCCTTTTATCATTGCTCTTCACCTGTTGCTTATAACCGTACTTTTGAGTTGACTTGTAATATGACTTGTGATTGACTCGATTACGGCTCTGTATTCTAGCTGTCTCAGACACGTGCAGTTAAAAAACAAATTTGACTCTGTATACTAATCTTCTTCTGTTCGCACTGGAGCGAAAGCAGTGGTGGGTCTAGGGAAGAAGGGAGGTATCAAATCCCTCCTCCTTGGGCTACAAAAATAGGACAATCATGCAGAAAAATGTAGCAAATGCCTGCTAACCGCCTCCGACAGCTCCCACTTGAGCCAAAGCGAGGTCCGCCCCTGTATAAGGCCAATCAAAACGTCACGTTAAATTTCAAAGCAGATGCATATTGATGAAGCGAAGGCTGCTTTGTATTCCATACCACGGATCACTCATTCTGCCCAGCTACATTTCCTCCCCTGTTCGCTTAAAACTATAGGCTCTATAAATTTCATACGTTATTTTTTTTTCCTATCAGTCAATCGCACACTCTTCATTTTGTTTTTTTTAATGAAGCGCTTTTTGACGGACTAAACACGTAACGCGCGTTGGCGTTCACTCAAGATTGCGTTTCTACCACATCCATCACAATTACTCTCAATTATTTAGGGGGTCAGATTTGAGCTTTATTGAATCTGCTGAAGTGTTCAGCAAATATGAAGGTTCGAGGAAACTGTTGGTCTTTTTTGTCTTTTTCCCCCACAAAAAAATTAGTTGTGCCCACCTACATTGAATGGTATAGACCTTAGGTTTACAATGTATATTCTTGAGACGCGATAACTACCAGACAGATGCGATTCAAGCTAATGCATTTGCTGAAGTAAATTCAGATTCAGACAAATCCTATTCATAAGATGGAATGTGCGTTAGGATGATTTAAATTCAATATTAGGTTTTGCCCTTCACCGACGTATAAACATTGTATGCTCAGTGTGTCCCCCCCCCCCCCCCCCCAGTGAAAGTGAGAAAAAATAATTCAGGTCCCCGTCGGGTGTGACTCGAACCCACGACCTCCTGCGTTCTAGTGCAGACGTCTTACCACGCGACCACCGAGCTTGCGGGATCGGTTGGTTGGTTCCACTCTGATGTAGCATCGGGTACCGCAGTGAAACTATTCATCAGATCCTGTTCGAAAAGTGGGTCGGACGAGATTGAAATTGTCCAGTCATTTTGATCTATATGGGTCAGAAGTACATGTATTTGAGACGTAATTGGGCTGTCATAGAGGAACATCACAAATATCTTCGCTGTAATGTCGCTGTAAGACTCTAGAAACAAGGCCAAGTTTGATTGAACATTAGAGTGCTGTGTAGACATAACTGTAGAGTTGTGATGATGACAGACAAATAATTTACGAAGAGCACACTCTGTCCTGACTAAATATGGACCATGTCAGCATGCATCGATCACCTAGTGGCGTAACTACAATCCTGGCAAAATCTCGCTGGCCCCCCCCCCCAGCCCCCGGTCAATGTTGTCTCTCATTGCGCAGTGCGTGCTCCATCCCCTGAAGAGAACAACATTGACCGGGGGAGCGGGGGAGTTGGTGACCGTTGGAGGCTAAGGTTATTTCCAAGTGTCCCAACCATTTTGACCGGGATTGTAGGTTAAAGTTCTGCACCGGCTGGGAGTGCACACATTTTCCCAGGGGGCACCTGAAGGCCAGTGATATATTGTGTTCAATTCAAAACTATGAAATAGATTCAGCGAACACGATCGAAAATGGCTTCTTCGTGAATGAGGTCTATACCAACCTCGTTTCCAAGGGAACAATCTTGCTGCGCCATGTTTTTCATCATGCCTTGCGCGATCTTAAGTGAGGGAGCGCGCACGCGCCCATATAGTCGAGTCTGGGTAAAGGAATATTTTCTGTTATGAACATAATACCACTCAAGATATCGTGGTAACATGCTCGATGACGCACCAGTGAAACCGAATTAGTTGACTGTACGGCTGTATGGTCACGGTCCATATTTCCAACACCAATGGCGTAATATCTAGACAGGAAGCGTCGGGCGAGCTCGGGAAAGTACAGTCACACTTCCTGGCCGAGCTGCACTCGGCAAAATGATGTCACGGTCATACTTTGGTGCACCAGGCTTTTAATGAAGGCTTTGCATGGACCATTGGCTTTGATGTTCAATAATTATTCCGTGTGACCGCATCAGTACTTTTGCAATTTCCTTCTTTTTGTTTGCTGTAAATATTGGCAGCTATATAGACCGTAATTTGGAAGTGTATATAAGGAGCATGCTTTTACCAATGGTTCCTGTTTTGAGCAGCCGGTTGTTATTTTGGCTTCGCAGTATTCATGTCACGTGTTAAGACTCCCCATTCCTCGCTTTCGTCACTGATTAACTCCCAGTGATGAACAAGCACATCCATGAGCTATACCGTTTTAGTTTGCGGGAGGCATGCCTGGACATCCGTCCAATTAACCCGCCTACGAACACGGGCGATGGCTGGTGCAGCTCTTGCGGGACTCGTGCGTGTTTGGCATGCAATCATTTCGACACGCACTGGAGCATTTTTTTTTTAACCACGCTGTTAAATAATACACTGCGTCATTAAGTCGTTAAGAAATTAACGCAGTGATGACTTGGCAACTAGATGCAACACATTACGTTATTACATACATATAGCCTATAGCTCAATTTTACAACGCCGGAAATGAAAAGTTGTCCTCAGCAATCTTGCGTTTCCCCACAAAAGTAAAATGTCTTGTACCTCCAAATGTTACGGTCAATTTGCAGCCAATAAAAACTTCATTCGTGTCTCTTGTTTTCCCGCTTTACAGAGAGATACGCCCTATTGGCGACAGTGTTTTGTTTCACTTTTGTTTTTCTCCTTAGCAGCCCTGCACTGTCCACGTTCTGTCTTTCGTGTGTAGTGTTTACTTGGTTTCTCATTGTTTGTATCATTTTGTTTTAATATCCAATTTTATGAATTTATTGTAATTGTGTGTGTTATAAGTGAATTTGCCGAATAATTATTATTACACTTAAAATAAACGAAATACATAAGGTGGGATACCCTTATCTGCTGACGATTATCACTGTCGTCTGCAACGATCACCTGATGATAGTCAGGAGTTAAAATTTGCTTAGGTAGGTCGTGAACTTTTGATCTCGGTCATAGTTTTGTTCCCAAACTTGATTTGAATTTAAGCATCAAAACTCGACGCAATATTGGTTCCAATTATGGCGGGTATATTCCCTCATTGGCACGGTGAAAGCAAGTCACTCGTGTACTTTATTTTTGACGGAGTCTTGAGAGGTTGATATCAAAATTTGCTTTCAGATATAACTTTTGATTTCCCGTGAAGTAGGTGTTCTGCCTTGGGGAAAATCACTCAGACTAGATTAAGCTGAACCCACCGTTGGGGGTGTTGTTGGGTAGATTAATGGTGTTTTTAGTTCTCTCGAAAGAACCATCACGCCCGTCGCCCACAGCCGGAGGTGTGAGGTGCATTAAATCAAAGTGCTATCTGAGAGCAAATTCGAGCGAGTACTTTGCTCGAATCCAGGCTAGTTGACCTATAGCTGGACTTATCAAAACAACTCTGGGGACCAGCCTACAGTGGTTGGTCGCATCGCTGGTTGCTAACCAGCCGTGCGCATCACTGAATGCACAGCAAGGAACCGGGACCGAGAAGTTTCATGATCAGTGACCTTTCAACCCTCATTCAACAAGATACGTTCGCACGTTGGTGTTAGTGTAGGTGTAAAAGCTACGTCACGATCCAACCATATCAGTCAACCAATAATCCTCGGTCAAACTTTCTATTACAAAATTAGCTTGAAGAGTGTAGTGCGCCCTCAACCGCCAGTTGGTAGATTTTGCTGCTACCCCAGGACGTGAAGGAACCTATGACAAATCGGGTGTATGCTGATCAGCCGTCACATGACTTTATGACAAAAAAGTCATCGTTGGTTATACCAATCCGGATACCAATTATTACAAACAACATGCACTGACGTCACTGGCTTGGTAACCAATCAGGATGTACTCCTCTGCCCTTGTAAGCAAAGAGTCAACGCGTATTGTTCAATGGGAGCGGTTTTGAAATAATCTGTACCCTTAGATACCGATGCGTGGGAGTTAGGTACGAGGCAATATCCTTCGTTATGTCGAATTCTGGTGTTGCTCACGCTAGTGACATGGTTCAAGATTGAACCATCTATCTTCTTTAAACCTTTCAACTTTTTTTTTTCTTTTTCCGTTCTTGCAGGCGATCGATTTATGGTTTGATGCTTGTTTGTCGTTTGTCATCGGCAGTCTTTTCGAATACGCCGTGGTACACTATTTGTGGACCAAGGACAAAGCCGAGAAACATATACGGTGGGCAGCATCAAAAGAATCGTTCAAATCACCGACACCGGTAAGAATATCGACATCGAATAATCGATTTAAAACGAATTCAGCTACCTTTGCCAGCCATTACATTACATGTATACGATGGTCTAGTACCAGCGAATCGATTGACTCGTGATTGACTCGTGATTGACTTGCGATTGACTTGTGATTGACTTGTGATTTGACATGACATTTTATTTCATTTGTTATTGACTTACGATTGACTTGCGGTCGACTTGCAAGTCACTTGTGATTGACTTCAAGTCACTTGTGATGTACTGGACTTTACGACTGACTGCGATTGACGTGCAATTGACTTGTGATTTGACATGTGATTTGACGTGTGATGTGGCTTGTGATTGATTTATGATTGACTGGATTACAATTGACTCTTGGAACTTTTAGATGCTTACTCGAGTTTCACCCTCAAAATTCTGACACAATTCTTAATTTCCCTTTTTTTAGTATCACGGAGGGCAGAACCAATCGAACAACAGCTACCTGTACAGCAACACGTACAAGGACCCGTCATCACGGGACCGGGACCACTGTTCCGAGTCCGACTCGCAAAACAGTCGCTTCGGGAGCCGCTACAACTACCAGACGAGCTACCGCGCCGTGCGCAAGAACTCCTACTCGAGCCACTGCGATAATGACCCGGAGATGGGCTATAGTAAACTCCATCACGATGGGGCGGCCTTGGCCGAACGGAAACGCTGCAAGCTCGCCGCCATCCGGATAGACAGGCTATCGCGGGTGGGCTTTCCACTCGCGTTTGTGACCTTCGTCGTCACCTACTGGGTCTGCTACTACAGAATCTATACGGCGGATCTTCCACCCATAGAATAGTTTTTTTAAGAGAAAGAAACACAGATTTACTTTGTTGTTGGCAAGTACTGTCTTGAAGTTGGCACAAAGCGTCTTCTGTTCGAAGTGTTCAATTGCGGTGGAAGCTGATTTTCAGTCTTCGGGCGAAATTAGACCAACGACTGTAAACCTTGGGGGTTCACTCGTCCCCAGAGGGCGCTGGTTACCTCTAGCTTCTTTGAGCCCCGATTGGACGGCCTCTGATGGTTTATGAGCCAGAGTCAACCCTTTTTTCAGCTCGCCTTGGACAGCATCTTCAACTTCAAGTGGTGTTTGCGGTGGATGCGGCATTTTCAGTCTTCTGTCAACCTTATGGGTCTACTTGCTAAATACGAACACGCTTGAAATTTCATGTTAAATCATGGGTTATTGTTTTACCTCTGTCTTTAATACTGTATTTTCATTGGCATATGTAGAACGATCACATGTTAGGTCTATAAAAATTCATGGCACACTCCCTGTGGGATATCACGTAGGTGATATCCCACAGGGAGTGTGCTATGATTGTGTACGTACGGTACGTACGGTGTGAAACGCTTCTATCGCTGGTACCCACGCTATTTTCACTATGTTTTTACACACGAGTGGGAGCAGCGAACTAGCAGACGATCAGCTGTTTCGAGCACGGTGCACGACATTGTCATGGTTGTTGTGTTTACTGCTGTTTGTTTTCGTGTTTTCGTGTTTCAAAGTCCAAAGAATCCAAGACAGAGGTACAACAATTGTTAAGTCTATAAAACTCGTCATGAACAATATGTTTTGTATAAAAATATGTTTTTAAATTAATATGAAGTAAAAACGAAGGTCGAGACTTTTAATTTGTTTTGCGATTTAAGTGAACTCCGTCATACTTGGTTTTTGCCAAATTCATTTACAAATATGTACCGAAGTTTCTCATGGGGAGCCCATCATCGAAGAAGACACTAAAAAATTATCATCTTTCTCGATCTTTACATTAATTAGAAAGGGGTGTAGCAGGAAGACTCATAATTTATCATGTTTGGTTTTTTTTCCTCCAATCGCTTTATAAAAGGGTGCTGCTGATTGTATTATCACTACTTTTTTTGTAAATAATGCAGACGACGTGAAAGCGACAAAATGATTTAGCGACAAAATGATTCAGAGACAAAAGACAGACAGAGACCTAACGACGGACGGACGGACCGACCTAGCTTTCATGATAGTCTCACACGCGCATGCGCAGTGCTTCTTCTGGCAAAGAATTGCTCACCGATATTGCTAAAAATATTCGGTGATCATTTTGGAAACGGAACGATGAGTAATTAACTAGAAAGGGCTTTTTAAAACAGAATACGAAACTTTTTGGTACAAGTTACTGGGATTCAGGGTTTGTTTCAATAAGAGAGGGTTTTTATTAGAGTTGGTATTATGGCGTATGTAAGAATATAAATTTCCGCCTTACAATATTTACTGAACATGATGTTTCATTGAAGACAAAATCTCCAACATAACCATAATAATTATAGGAATTGGTTGATTATGTCATTCACAAATCTGAAAATACATGTATAACATGTCAAATAAGGCAAGGCACTAGTACCCGGAAAGGATAATTTGGAATACCAAACAGTATCAATTGTGGACGCTGGGGTACATGTTTCGATTTCCCAGATATATATGTCTGAAACAAACCAGCCGGACGCGCTGTGTATGTACAGTACTTAAATGCGTTTCTACTGTACCGCACAGACTGTCGCTTGCTCAGGAGAGTATCGCCTTCAACAAAATTTGTAATTATATTGTTAAAAAAACAATAGTGATTTGTGGTAATTTTGGTCGAGTCCCGAGTCACGCAGGTCGAGTGCGAGCTCAAGTTCGAGTCCGCAGAGGCGAGTCTGAGTTCGAATCATTTGTCATCGTGACTTGAGTCCGAGTCCGAGTCACGGAAAATGGGACTCGAGTCGGACTCGAGTCCGAGCCCGAGTCACGAGTCACGCTGTTTTGGTTTCATATTTTGATCGATAAATGTCGCAATGCTGTTGCCATACATACACTATACGGTGCTCCATTATGAGTGTGAAGTGATTATATACTTACACTTCGAATCACTTATAGACTTTTTGAATACAGCATCCATTTTGGAGGTGTTGTTATCATTTTCATTCATTACCAACGGAAGGTAAATTCGTGCATATATCCATGTGTGGAAGAAAAGCACAGCCCTCCAAGATGGCCGCCATTCAAATGGTCTGTACTCTTTGGTAACTTTAACGAGGGGATAACAATTTCATTTCTGTTCACATAACCGCTAGGCCCCCTAAAATGTTTTAAAGCATCGATTGTATTTTGTTCCCGTCCCCTGCTGTTCTGGTTTGGCGTATTGTCGTGTCTGAGATAACGACCTTTTACATGTGAATTGTAAACACAATATTATCAGTTAAGAATCTCCAGCTAGAATTGTTTTCTACAATTATAAAGATCATTTTGTTTAATCGGGCTCAGTCGTTAAAGGAGCAAAGCTCATTTAAATATTTCACCACCGTTAAACAGTTCTGATCTACTATTTTGCTGTTCAATGTTGTGAAGTCTTCGTTCTGTATACCATGCCATCGTTCCGTCCAGTGATATTTTGTCGCTCGTTTCATATTTGAGGTTCCAATTAAACATAAATTTACAAAAGTACTACTCAATTGATGAGACGAGAGACGTCAAAAACATTTGAGGAAAATGCGTGGTATGTAGAGAACATAGATTTGTGGGATCTTAGATTGGTTATCGTTGGCATTTTGAGATTTTTTTTCGGGGCGGAGGTTGAAAGTTCATCGGCGCCGCGAACTGACACTGTCTTACGCGCAAGTGTGTGTCAGTTCGTGAAAACCACGTAGGGCCTAATCAACAATTTCGGTTTCACGAACTTCACCCGGTATAGTGCGCGCACTGACGCAAAATAGGAAGATTTTCGTTTTCACGAACTGACACCTGGGCATGATACGGCAATACAGAACGGAGAAAAACGGTTGGAAAGGTTTTACACAAATTTAATCCATCCGTATACTTGTGTGCTTACACAAACATTTAATCAAAAACCGTTTTAATTGGTGAAATTAAGGTCAGTGTCAGTTTGTGAAACCGAAAATCTACGGGGTGCGCTCTAAAAGTGCCGCACTGTATGGAGGATGTCAGTCCGTGAAACCCAAAATATCTCGGTTCTGTAAAATACAGAAATCGTGGTGCCGATGACGAAAACGTGCCAAAACTACGTAGTGAACAAAAACAAAATATGTAAAGTCTTAACTTCTGAACATATCAACTTCTTGTTTTATAATTATGATGTTTAATATGAATGGCACGAGAGCCTAAAACACAATTTCAACGTGGAAAAAGTCTTCAAACAACATGTGCCGAAAAGATTTGAATTTACCCAGTTTTGATGTTACAAGTATTCACGTGCGCATGCGTGAGCTTTTCGCCTTCAACCATGTGCAATATTTGGTTTTGTTTTGTTTTGACTTTTCATTCGAATTCAAGAAAAAAAAGTTACCATTATAATCTCCACAGATTTGAATATTGTATAATAATGGCGAGATGTTTGAAATTATTACAATTAGCCTATTTGCTTTTATTGGTATGAAAGGTATTTTTAAAGGAAAACAAGGGAGAAGGGAATTAAAGTTTAAGCTCGGACAAGGTTTTTCGTTCGGCTACTCCTTTAATGTGTCGCCAACCGATCGGGGGAAAAAGAAGGGACGCTAATTCCTAAACATCCAGATGATGTTAAAATACGGCGTTTTCGCCCCGGGTGGAGCCGCTGCTTGATTGGCTTGAGTGAGCCTACTTCACTAACGGATCAATCGGCGCCATTTTCCTTCAATCTTTCACAGCATTGTTCAGCGGATTCCAGGCACGTTAATCACTGTCTCCGGTTTTAAATTGTGTATGTCTGGATTACCATGGGCACAATTCGTGGAGTCTATACATTTTCCATGCATACCCATTTATGCTGAAATCGACTTTTTTTTAAGAACAAAAACAAGAAAACTTATTTCAGGTTGTGTGGCGTCATGTACATCTATAGTTGTCAATGTCGTCAGTGTAGATTCCATTAGTGGCCTGCTGACTATCTGGCCAGGGTGGCAAGCAACCTACCTTAAAAAGGTAATTCGAAATTCTTTGGTTTTGGCTTTTTCCGTTTCTGGCATGAACAATAATTAGTTATGATGCCATGGAAATTAAGGGATGGGATTTGTTGGGTTGTTAGCAAAATGGGGGCGGTAAACGGTTGAACAAAACGACCAAAAAAAGGACAAAGGACCGTGACATTGCAACAACTGTTGTGTTAATAAAACACCACATTATACCGGTATCTAACGGTTAAAATGTATTCCGTGAGGCCGTGTGGTCTAGCGGTACGCGGTAGAGCACAGGGTTCATGATTGTGAGAGTGGGTTCGAGCCCCGCCGTGGCCACGCGTATTGTGCCCTTGAGTAAGGCGCTTTACCTCAATTACTCCTCTCATCAACCCGGGTGTTAAATGGGTGCCGGCATTATTCACTGCTGTGGGAAGGTAACAGACTCACTGTGGAGGAGGTGTGACGATTCTCCCCCCCCCCCCCCCACAGCAGCAGCATTTCCTTGACTCGAGTCTGGCCCAATCGCTTCGTAAGAGAGATGGGCACTCCGTTCTTGTGAATTCAAGTTCGTCCCCTTTTTACCTTTTACCCTGAAACAAACACAATAAAAGAAAAAAAAACTTGCCTGTGTGAAGGCTAGACAAAACAGCAAACATTCCCCATTTTTTAATGATTGTTTTTCACAATTATCAACGATGCTTCCGCAGAGGCTCTGTTTGCTGACTGACTAAATTGACAAAAGTGCGTGTTTTTGCAGCCCCGATGATGATGAATCTACATGACTGATTGCACTCGCGGAGGTCAGAGTCCGGGTGCACTTGCTTTGGAGAGCCGTTTAGTTTGATTAGTGTGATTAATGTAAACATTCCTGATGCAATTCTGAAGGTAATGGAACGGTTGATTTGGTTATAATTATCAGTCGAAGGAGAAGATCTCTAGAATTGGATGCATCTGTATTCCCTGTGATTTATCATTAAAAACGCCTAGGGCTCGGCTAAATCCTTAAAGTTCGTGCTTTTTCAAATTTCGATGTTCTTTTCCGAACGAAATTTAAAGGAACATAATGTCCTGTAACAAAGAAATTTGCTTGTTTGTTTTTGCAGGCCTTTGTACAGTTTTAAAAATTGGTTTGAAATGGCGCGCTCCAGTTCAGATATTGCGCATACTATTCAGAATGAATTAGGAGCGTCCCCCTCTTAATTCAAAAAGTTGAAATTAATCAATTGATTGCTTGTCATAGGCCGAGTTTTTTCCTGCGATGTCTCATTAGAAAGCTCATAACTAATGTAATGCTAGAAAATTATCAATTAAATTTCAAAATCTATTTTTCAAGGAGTCACACCCAAAAAAGCACGTATACACCAATTTTAAGCATTAACCTATGGAGATTCCTATCTTTCCATATTTTTTTCGTAAACGTTAGAGACAAAAAAAATCAGTGACAAAAACGACAAATGCATTTCAGTACTGACAAGTTTGGCAGGTTTAAAAGAGAACATCCCAGTAAATAGGCCAAAATTCCGTCCGCCGAGCTCATGAATAAAAGTTATTCACTCAAATTATTATGTAGTTCTGAGAGCCATGAAAGATATAGATATGGCACTGTACCTCTGCATGGCCATGGCACTGTCTGTACCTCTGGCCATATGGCAAAGTTACCTCTGGCCTGGACTTGGGGCTTCTAATTCTGAACATTTTGGATGCAATTGCGTTCGAAAGTGGCGCTATTTAGTTGTTATGGAGAGATCTAGAGATCTTTTTTTAAAATGGCCTCTTTTCCAGTTTTGGAAACATCGTTTATTTTTAGGGGTGGTCTTAATTCTTTGGGTAAGAATGTTTCGAAAAAGTCCGAAGGGTCCACCCACCAAAAATTGAAAAGAAACTGAAAGATGTGTTGTTGACCATCATTTTTCTATGCAGCCTGAACACCTGTGAGAGTTCTGAGTATTTTGAAAAGAATTTTGAAGTATGGGGATTTCTATGGGATTTTTTTTTTTATATACCTCTGAAATACCTGTCCACCCCCAATGAAACTTAGCGTTTTTATGTAGAGCGCCCTCAAGTGACAGTAGGGAAAACGCGGAAGAAGAGAATCGCAAGTCTACACGTGTTTCAACTTTCAACTCGCACTGCAGATTGTAGATTTTACGAACGGTGCTTTGCTCCGAAACAAACGTTTGCCTTCAAGTAAAGACCAGTTTATGGTAAGTTTATATTATGCCACTTCATTCTGTGCGTTTTGTTTATGGTGTAAATCGAGGACACACACGTGCAACAACAACAATCAACATCAGTCATGTCCTAGACCCGTGAACGTGGCTATATTTAGCCTATACTATAGTACATAGCCACGCTTCAAATAGTAAAAACACTCTATTGTGATCCACGGTTACTGTGATCGAGTGACCGTTCTAGCCGAATTTCGGCTACATTTGACAGAATATTTGCATACAAAAATGAGTTGTACAGAAAATCCAGCAGAATATTTTTTCGGCAGAATTATGTAGATGAAGGACAATGATTAATGAAAAAGATTAGAGAAATATGGGCACATTTGGTTTGAAAAAACCTTCGTTTTTTGAAAGATCCCTGAAACAAACCCTTACACAATGGAACAGCAATATATACTGGGTGATTGGTAGTCCGAGTAACTTGGACCCAACTTATCGCCTTTTTAACATTCGGACATGGTCTGGCGATAGTGGGGTCCAAGCTAATGCTGTATGCCGAGCAACACAATTCTGTCATTGACCCAAAAACCCAACATTGCCCCAAAAAACATCAGATTTCACCCTCAAAACGGCCTCCAAATTACTAGATACGCCACCTGAGGTACAAGTAGAGATCGATAATTAAGATGGTTGTACTGAAGTTTACTTATGATCCGGATGGAAAGTGAAATTTCCCTTTCAATTCCGAGAGCTCCCCTTGCGATCGTGAACACGTTAAATTTCCGATTTGTGTTAATGTTTGAACGACGCGATGTGGTCTTCATTCCCAGCATACATTCGATGGTTCCTGTATCCCGAGTGCGATTCCGTTACCGAGCGCGCGCGATGCATCGATTATGATTCTGAGTAGACTGGATCGCGTTAGTAAACACAAGTGCATTTCGAACGGTAAAAGGGAATCGGGAACCAGCTTGAACTGGTATCCGTCCATAAAAGCTGCCCTAGTTCCCGGCCCCCTATTATCGTTCGAAATACCTATAACAACATGACTAACAAGAATGGGTGTGTTTGTGTGTGTGTGTGTGTGTGGTGGGGGGGGGGGGCGAGTTATGTTTCGTAAATGTTGATGGAATTACATACCTTCTCCCTTTCAAACATCTGGTTGAAAGGAAACCAACCTAATGTCTTACCGTTCTCGAGAAAAGACGAAAAAAAACCTGGTTGTTTACATCTGACACGACAGAGCACACAGTCGTTTTTTGCTATGCTTCCGAGGATTGGCTTTGTGTTTTCCTTTGTCCCTGTAATATAACACTCTCCCATAGACTAAGCACACAAACCTGCGTTCGAGGACAATAGGCACCTTCCTTCGAGGATCAATGGCCCCTTTGTGCTCCTTTTGTTGTCTGTCCTCAGGCGTAATGCCATGCAGGAACATGAATACATTTTTCCTGTCGTTTCAGTCAATGTACGATATACACATTGCGTGTGTCTGTTATAACGTACGTATACAGCACCGTGCTAGTGAACAGCAGTGACCAATCACTAATGCACAAAATGTAATTTCTTACACGTCCGCAAAAGGAGAACACTTTATGCATGAAATCACAATTAGAAGCACCCAAACAGCTCAACATTTTGGGGTCACAAAAGTGGACCCCGAAAGTCATTCTCGCACGCATAATACAGGAATAACATAAAATCGCCCAGTTTTTAAAGGAAAGTTGTATGGATGTTTATATTCTACCTTTACACGTTCTTGCCGATTATAACATCATATTGTTCAAAGCACATTTTGTAGCCCAATTGGGCTGTTCCAGGACGCAGTATCCCTTTAATAGGACCCCCTAAAAAATGGGTGCTTTATAATTTACAATTGTAAAACACCCACTTTTGTTAACACCATTAAACACCATTAATCATTGAGTTTCTCTAGGTTTTTGCCCTGCTTCGTGGCTTCAGTAGTTTTGCCCATCTGTAAAATGTGAACAGCGCCCTCTGTTGACCGATTTTGTACATGCATGCATAAGTATTGGGTATTGCCTATGTTTTGAACAAAATAGCAGCAATTTTGGGGGCATTAGCTTTTTGGGGGCATTAGCTTAATTTTCCTTCACTTCATGTAATCATCCATACTAGTTGAAATTCATTCATATTTTCAAGGCCCCCCCCCCCCCACAGAAACATGAAATAAACACAACAAAATAGTACGTTCTACCAACATTGGCTCCCTCAAGGGTTAATTTTTGACAGGTCGAGAACCATTCTTGTACCGTGCTGAGGTTTTTTCCCCCAAAACAATTGCCCGTTTGAAGATTTTCTTGTGTGTTTCAATGTGTGTTGTTGTTTTTATATTTGAAGCGATTGATACACCTCAAGGTTGTATTTTGGTAGAATATATTCACCTGTAATTTATCTTCATTATGGACAGATACAAATTCAGTAATTGACAGTGAAGCATGGAGCCCAATTTGTAGGGGAAGAACAAGTTTTCTTTTTGAAAGGGGATCAGGTCAGCTTGTTTGTGTAAAAATAGACCCCCCAACTCCAAACAGGATGCCGTTTGAAAACCATACCAGAGTATTGCGTTGGGCTAGTGGCCAGTGTAAGGCAGGAAATGGGACCGAAAATGAGGCATTTCCTTTAAGGATTACCCAAGGAGAGATTTGCAAAGTTGCCCCAGTTTAGGATCTTCAGGTGAAGCCTCTCTCATTTGACCTACGATTATTGGCAAAGTGTTTCAACTGAAGCTTTGACTTCTTTCATCAGCAGGCAATATGCAGAGGATTTTTTAGGCCCATGGGTGTCGGGGGGGGGGGGGGAGGAAAAATAGGCCATATTGCTGTTAAATTGATTGGGGGGGGGTAGGGAAAATGCTTCCCTGCTCACGCTCGGAAAAAAGATAAATTGAGAATAGAATAAAAAAGTTAAGGAATTTTGGGGAAAAATTTGCTTTGCCCCCCCCCCCCCTGGAAAATCCTGGCGACACCGATGTTCAGGCCTGGAATTTTGGGATTTTTTAAGGCAAGGCCCTTTTATCCTTAGGTGAAGACACATTGTGGCATACATCGAGGCCAGAGTGCCATGGATAAATATGATGGTTGTTGCACATGGGTCTTTCTGTAAATTTAGGATGCAAACTGGGACATTTTTCCTGTCCGTGTTACCTTGGAACTTTGTCATTTACCATTCAAGTGTCCTGAAGAATGACTTCAAATGATTTTTTTTATTTCTTGGGTAGTTGGTCGTTCATAAGTACTCTAGGAGGATGACTGAGTTAAGAAGTGCGTAACAATTATGAAATCATAGATGCAATGGGAAAAAGGGATAAAAGTGGACCTCACATTTATAGAATGAAGCTGTTGGCGAGCTGATATTTTCGCTCAAAAAGACAGCAAGCCAACGTATTTGCTTGAATATCGTAATAATAATACATAACATGTACATTGTTTTTATTCTGTTTTATTGAGGCAAGTAACTCATTAGCCGAAGATTTAATGGTTAGCAAAAATGTGCCATGGCAGATGTGTTTTTGTAATAACCTTAGGAATGAATTGATCTTAGTAAACTTCTGCACTAACCACGTTTCCCCATTTTCCCACACTTACTACTTGTTAAACTTGTTACCATGATTATTTTTCTAGGTCTGGTCCTACTATATTATATTTTTTCCTCAATAATGGAGTGAAAGATTTAGAACTCAAATTTTATGATGAGGTTGGTACGTTTGAATAAAGACTACGTTTAAAAGTAATTTTAAGAAGAAAACATGGTGAACACAAAATAAATGTTAAAATTCTAAGTCATGTTAATCAATTTAGTCCAAAAATCCTTTTTTAATGGAAGAGAGAAAGAAAGAAAAACTAGTCCAACTGCAGCAGTTGCAAACTTTTTAAGTAAGCCTACCATGTCTGCAGACATTGCAGGATAGTCTAAAATACAAAATGTAAAACTGATCAAAAAGTACATATCAAAGAAGTCTTAAAACATCTACGGATATAAAGTATGGATCAAATGACGAAATATTTCTTGTTTGGAAGAAGTTATACATCATTGCTCCAAACATGGCAGTGTATTAGCTGATGTATGTAATTAAGTTTGAAAAAATGCAGTCAGTGATGCAAACAGACCATCTTCTAACTGTGTTAGTCCTCGACCCCCTCCCCCCCCCCCCAACAAAAAAAAAACCCCAAAGATTACTGTGGTTTTGCAGAGAGGAGTTAAAGGTAATGTACAACATTTGCAAAAATCAAAAAACAAAACTACCACATTATTATGGAAATACCTTACTTGACTGTAAGTGAATAATAGTCTCAAGCATCCTGTGAAATAATGGCACCTGGTGTGCTGTCATTTTCAAGAAAAGTGAATTTTTGTATCAATTTCCAACGATGATCGGCCAACCATCAATTTGGAACATACTGCCCCAAATGAACGATGTCTGTATATTGCTCCATTTCGCCTGAAGTAGGGTCAGGGAACCAGACTACCAGAACAGCTTTTTTTCTTGGTTTTTCCAGCATCTATGAACACAAAACTTTAAACAGGTCAGTGTAACAATATTTGCTACAAAAAAACTAACCCCCAAATTCATCCATTTCTGAAAATTACAGCAAAAACCAATGTTGTATATGACTTTTAAACTACTTTGGTTTTTTCTCCATCCAAAAATGTTTAAAGTACATCAATATAAACCAGGATAACCTTCATAAAACTGATATCCGTTGTTATGCCTCGGATCAAAATCCCACCCAGGACTCTATATGTTCCCTTGGGTTGCCATGGAAACCATTGACTACGCTATTGCCATGGTAACTGATAAGTGCTTCAGAATGATGCATCAAAGATCTCTAAGTAAATAATGTTCAATTTACATTTTCACTGTGGCAAAGAATAATATCTTGAGTCTAGCTGTTTACTAAAATGGTTTTTAAAAAATTCAAAAAATTCAATATTTATAGGCAAAATAATTATGAACTTTGAGGTAGTTTTATAAACAAATGTATACATTTTAAAAACTCACAATATACAATGTAGGCCAATTCATACTTGGGACAAAAAAATGAACATAAATACGAAACATAACAATTATGTAATGTCACGCTGCAAAGTTTACAGTTGATCACATATTATCTCTGGCAAATTTTGCTGGGACTAATTTGTAACATCTTTTGCTTGTTCATTCACATTACAATGTATATATGCAAAATATGCACTGGCCTTTGTAAACGTTTTGATTTTTCATCCCTTTTAACACCATTCACAACTTCTGAAAATTCAAACTGCTCAAAAAACAGCACCTGCAGAATTTGTGCTAATTTCAAATGATTGATTTGTCATGAATTAAAGTACACCTAAACAAATTCAGTGACATCTCATTGTGAAAATATCATCTTTCAAATACATAACTTTTTATATTTACAAAAAAAAATGTACATGAGTTATTTTTTATTAAAAATGCTTCTTTCACTTTTCTCAAAAATGCTTGATAATATTTTTTCATGGCTTCACGTGTAAACTTGATGTCAGAATCAACAAACGAGTTTTATTTGTGTATTTCCAAGACACCCATGATAAATAATTGTTTATTAAAGTCTCTTATTAAAGGGTATTCAACCGAAATCTTTGCAATATATACAAACAGTAAGAATGGTTTGTTACACGGTCACCACTATTTAATAAATATTTGTAACTATCTACATAAATTATGGCAATTTTAAAAAGATGTCTAAAAAAAATATGTTTTAAAACATTTTTAACTAAGCTTGGTCTTAGTCCAGTCAGACGTTTTCATTTTCTGTCCACGATCTCTTGAACAAGTACATGTACATTGTGTAAGTTTCAAATTTAGGAAATGCTAATTTTATGTTATCAGGGGCTACCAACATAACCTGTAGAGTAGCATGTCCCTCTGTAAATCCTGAGTTATCCCAGGTTCAAATCCTTCTTTTGTCATATTTCTTGTCTTGTCTTCAATTTTGTTTGATTCTCAAAAAAGCAAAATGGTTTCATGAACATAATTTCTGTTGTATTAAAAAACAAAAATCATAGTGGAGCATAAACGTTTTTTTCCTTTAAGGTAACAATTCAGCACCTGAAAATAATGGATCAACAAGTTTATTTCAGTGTTTTTTCCACATTATTACAAAACATGGGTGACCCTTACACTCATATCCCACAACTAGTCTCGGTCGAAAATGCAAACCTTGAAGCGTGGCGATCTGGTCCGATAGTTCATTCTGCCGGACCTCGGTCTGCACTTGCCATTTTCCAGCTCTAGCTGGGCCAAAGACAGCAGAGAACAAAACATCCCCATGATGAGTGTAGGAGTCAAGATACGAGAGAACTTGATCCGTCTTGGCATTCATCCTGATCTGCAGCTCCAACTGATCAAGAGTCAGATTTGGAAATGACTTCCAACTGTACACTTTGTGATCACTCAGAGAGTACGTGAAGTGTCCGACGCCGTCTAAAGAGGCCACGCTCTGGGTTGTTGGCATGTGTTTTCCTGCCACTTCATCAAGTGAGGCACTGAAGTCATCCAAACTTTCGCCAATCCCAAACTTTGTATTTCTAGATGGAGTTTGACTGAAGATAGCCGAGTAGCGGATACCACCATCGGAGTTGTGACTGTTGTAGCTTGTCACAAAATTCAGGTACATGCTGTCTAGTAAATTATCTGTTCTTAGATTGATTAACTCAGATTTTGTCACACTGTTTGAGACTTGATAAGAGTTTTCGGTGTCTCTTTTCAATATAGTGGCTAGGTAGGTTTTCTGATTGATGTTGTAGGCGCTGATCCAGACTGGGTAGAAGGAGAGTCTGGACACTGCATTGAGGAAGAGTGGGAAATGTCCCTCGCCGACGTGAGAGTTCATGAGAGTTGAGTGTTTTTGACTCCCTCTGATGGGGTTCTCACTGCAGTCTTCAATCAAGAGGTTGTCCGCGGGCCACTGAGTGACAGAAGACAGGATCTGAGTAAATGTCTGTCGGAGATTCTTGCGGTTGTTGTCGCTCAGGATGACCAGCCAGCTCCAGGATTCAGCTGGGGGCTTCCTAAATCTGGACTGCCTGGATTTGGGCGGCGTCAGAGATTGTTGGTGAAAGAGGATGATCTCGTCGTCGTGGGGATCCCCGATCTGCCACCAGGTCGCATCCTCGTTAGCTTGGACACCCAGGCCATGCCAGGTGTCTCGATGCTCAGACACAGGTGCTTCGGGATGCTTTGTCAAGAGCTCCAGAGTCTTGGGGTTGAGTAGCATCCCTGAGGTGAGACCGGTAACAAATCGCATCAAGTCATACACGGTCGACCACCAGCCAAGGGTTGAGTCAAGTAGTTTGTACGACTTGGCGGTGACATCCGGCCTCACGTCAGACAAGGGGATGCCACCCTCAAAGAAATGCAAAACAGGAATGTGATTGTTATGTCTGCTCTGCGAAGAGCTTTTGGGGCTGATACGTGTATGCCACATTCCTAGCGGTTCCAGTATCTGTGATCTGATGAACGAGGCATAGCTTTTACCGCTTATGTGCTCAATGACACGTCCAAGAACACAGTACCCAAAGTTTGAGTATTGATACTGTATACCAGGGGGGTTATCCAGAGGTTGCATCATCATGTAGGTGATGACATCATCAGGTGAAAGGTCATGCTCCAATCTCATCTCCTTGGCGATATCGATGACATCGTGACCCCTGGACAGATAGACAGAGTTCATCATGGGATCGTAGAGCCGAGGTGTAGACTGGCTCCAGCCAGCCGTGTGGTGCAGTAAGTGCTCCACTGTAATATCTAGGAGACGGGGATCCATACCCATCTTGTCTGATGGTCGGAAGGATGACAGAATGCCGTCGGAACCGAAGACTTGATCGGTCAGTTCCAAGTCTCCCGCCTCAACCATTTTCAAGACGGCCACTGCCGTGATGGTCTTGGAAAGGCTGGAGATGGGTAGCAGGGTCGTAGGTCGCATCGGGGCTCCCTCGTCTGTCTGCCCGTAACCCTGAGTGTAGCGTACCTGGTCGCCCCTGGCAACACCAAGGGTCGCCCCGGTGTAATGGTTGTCTCGTAGAAATGCTGACATTTTACTGTCAAGGGCAAGGGTTTCTGGGAAGGTTCTCTCAGTCGGGTCAAAATCTGCAAGAAGAAGAAAAAATATGAAATATTGTAAGTGCTTCAGCTAGGAAATGGCACAAATTACATAGAAAAAGGCATCTTCTTACTCAAAATGTTCTGGTTCTCAGTTCCTCAATGAATATTACAACTGATCCTGTCTATAATCTGACCATGTGTATCACTGAAGCTTCAAACCGAGTTCAGTGTCTTGGGTTCTTTGTTAATGTTAAGTATTTTATAATCCTCTTATCCTGTGATTTACAGTATTTTTATTTGTAAGATTTCTTGTGGATGTTTTGATCAGCTACATGTAAGTGTCACTGAACAACTTTGAAACAAACCGTATAACTTGAAACTTTGGAACAACCCATATAACTTTTTCATTCAATGTTCAACTTCTAGTCACAATAAGCATTAAGCAGTGTACCAATAGAATAAGTTCACAACACATTGCAACAGCCAGAAGTTCCAGTCAATCAACTTTCATAAAAAAAGCTCTTTTTTCATAAAGTGCTCCTGTTAGATTGTTGCATGTAGCCCATACAACATAAAATACAGTAAAAGCTTGAAAAAAATCATGCCCTGAAAATGGCCTAGCGAACAGGGGAAAAGCCTAGGGGAAGTTCTCATGAACTTGTTGACATGAGTAGTCTGCGTTGAGTCCCATGAAAAGCGACAGAAATCCCCCAAGATTTGATTTTCCCCGCCCATTGTGGGTGAGTTTAGGTTATGACTGGAACAGCCGCACTGGCCCGGGGTGCTTGTTATTGTGTGGTTTGAAGGGATTGGTGTTCCCGGGGAAGTTTGCACAGAAAATATTGTGTTGAGGATTAAGGACTGTGAAATTTGAGTGCTTGAATAAGCCTCGGTTGAATTAGCTTGTGTGTAGGTTCCAATCTAAATATATTCATTAATGCCTGGATATTATGCTTAATTGGCAGAAATTGTTTTTGGAAGAAACTTCTCTCAACGGTCCACTGATGATAAAAGGCCTATTGACAGAACAAAATACATGTTTCTAATTATTTTTTTAAACTTAATATATCTTTGTACCACAATACTTTTCATATCAAAATGTAGTGGATAATTTTTCAACATCTTTAGAAATACAATGCACAATAAAGATATTTCAATACTTTATTCTCTGCCTGCAGTGGGATTTGATGAGGAAACTTAGCGGCATGTATAGTTGAAAGCAAAGAATAACTTTTCACATTTTTATAATTTTGGTACAGAAATTACAAGTGAAAGGTTTAATCGGATTAAAGAAGTAACATTTGCATAATTCTTTTTCCTTTTGTTTGCAGAAAGAATTAAAATCATCAAATCTGAATTCCAGGCCGACCACCAGCTTTACAAATTGACATCTCCATAATTATTTTGGCTACGAAATCAGCTTCAGGCATAGGACATCTTCTCAAAGGACATTTAGTAAGTCAAAATTAGAATTAATAACATTGTGATGAGCTATGATTATCAAATTCTGAAGAATGTTTCCGTAGGTCATGTTTGTCTGTCTTTGTTTGTTGCAGCACTGTTCTTCCGGAGTTGTGTATTTCTGGAACTTTTATCTCCAGTTCCGATAAAGTTGGTTCTTGATTACGATTGGACCTAGCTTTTCAAGGACTAGTATATTCAAAGGAAAGCTGGTTATCTCACAATGAAAAAGCTCAAAAGTTTGGGAATCAGCCAAGCTTGTGAAAATCCTGCCAGAATGAAATGTTTGGGAGAAGAAACATGCTAAATGAAGCATCAAATAGCTCAAGAATCAAACGGGAGTGATTATCCGTCTTTCAGATTCATGGATTTGGTTTTGCATCTAAGATGCAGAAATAAAGCACAAGGCTTTTTCCGGTTTCAGGGAGTGCAACTCTGACTTCAGAAATCATGACAGTTTAGGAAGCGAATTAAACTAAGAAAGGACCCACCATCCGAAAGAAAGTAATCTGAAAGCCACTTGAAACTCGGATTAAGAGTTGAGTGCCAACAGGGATCAAATTCTCAATCTGGCAAAGGGGGTGGGGTGGAAATTTGGGTCAGCGTGTCGTAATCCCAAATCCTGGACTGTAACTGTCGCTTTTTAATTGCCTGGGTCTCCAGTTTTCCTCACTTTTTTTTAAAGAGGATTTTGAAACTTCCGCAGGCATCCCTCAAAGGATTGATTTCTGTACAAGATTAGTAAGTATTGTTCACACATGAGAAGGGGCCGTTATTGAACTGGCACAGTGTTTATCACGACAAAATCAGTTCAGTTGGCGGACACAATTAGAGAGCCAGGATTATATCCAACAATGAGCGTCTTATGAAGCCCTGGAGGAAGCCATATTGAAACAGTTTGTGAAATTGAAATTCCCGACCCTATACCTGATCCTCTCTGCTGAAACCTGAACAGCCGGTGGCAAGGGGTCGGCTGGGTGGGATTCGTGGAGGTTTTTCAGTAAAAGGTTTGAAAACCAAGACTAGGTTTGCCTGGTCGATCTGTACCCGAAATATTGACACTTTAGGACATTGATAATACCCGGTACTTTGTGTCTTAGTCAGTCAGTGACTCAGTCAGTAGAAGACAACAGACTGGCCTTCGGTTCCAGCAAAAAGCAAAAAAATGACTTGAAATTCAGGAATTTCATGGCATGTGGAATGTAGTAAATAATAAAAAAGGTGATGGTAATAATATCTAATGAGGAGACACTTACAAAGCGATCAATACCAACAGGTACATAACAAGTGTCATCGCTTTGTTGAGCCAGAGTAAATACCTCTCGATGACAATCAATATCATCAATACCTCAGCAGGTATCTCTCAGACCTCAGTTTGACATAAAAGGCACGTCTCGCCTTGTAATGTAAGACACAATAAAGTCTGGCTTGGCACTGACTTGCTTGCTTTTTTTTTTAAAGATAAGAATCATCATGATATGAAGAAACAACCCAAAACAGTCAGTTAGCTTTACTTCTACACTCTTCAAACATTGGAACTAGTTTAAAAGCTCAAGTACTGTTGGAAGAAAAATGCAGCCACTTCCTGGAATTTTATTTTGCTGGAAAGGAAATCGACAGTTTGGAAGTTGGAATGAGCCACTTTTCCCATGATTTTTAACAAATGAAACCCAAACGACTGCTGTTCATAGTGATATCGAGCAGACTTGGTAGCCTGTTGCTAATTTTGCATGTTAGTTTAGGTCTCATCATCCACTCACGAAAAGCAAAATCTTTGTAAAAAGATGGGACATAATCCTCTTGAAATTCCCCGGCTTCGGAGACAATTGTTCTCCGGGGATGAATAATTGAGCACCTGCGCTCCTGGCAGCCGCACCTGTGCATCTGTTGTGCCGAAATTGATCTGTTTGCAGGAGCTTTCAATCCTTAAGCGGGTGTATCAATTTTTAGGATGGGTGTATTAAGTAACTTGAAGCATCATTAGGACACCAAGGGAACATGAGTAAGCCCTGGAGGAATGCGGTCAGGATACTTTGGGAGACATGATATCTTTAAGCAGGGCTTTGTCCTAGATCGTTTTAATTTTGAAGGATTTTTACAGGTTGGATGAAGCTTAGATACAGCCTACCTACTGTTACTCTGAAGTTGAAGTATTAACAAATACGGCATTTATTTCCCGATGAGCATATTTAAAGTAGCCACTTCACCCATTTTCAGGTCTCAAAAGAATTGGAGGAAAGTTGCAATTTCCTTTCAACAGGTGAAACCCACTTTCTGCAGGTGTTTTTGATTGCTGCGCTCCATTCATATCACTTTCCCTTATGCTATGACCTGGATTAATTTCCCTATCAGGTAATCCTCAACTGACGCAAACTCTCATTGTGTAGCGATTAAGACGGCTTCCTGCACCTACAATTTAATATCGAGGGACCTTTTTATATTTGTCTTAAAGACTATCCGGATTGCCAACAGAAGACTGAGAAGAAGTGGATATGGAAAGTTTTAATAGAATGTTACAGCGGCGACAGAGTGATATTGCACATTTCAAATGTGTTTTTAATTGGAGGAATAAGTCTCACTAACGAGATACAGCATTGAAGTGGTATTTTAATCTTTAAAGTCTACTGACTGATGAAACGTGCCGTATACTCGTAAAATGAACTATGCTATGCATCACACATTGAACTCTTATAAAATACAGACATTATGATTTTCATACGTTTTTGTGCATAATGTACATGCAAACTGTCCAGTTGGTCACAGCAATAAAGAGGACTGTACCCAAAAGTGTAAATTAGGACATCATTGTTTTTACTCAGTGTCTTAGTCAATGATTCAGTTAGTGATTCAGTCATCAGTCAGTGAAAAGCAGGCTCGCCCTTCCGGACGGCCAAAAGGCTGGATTGAAATCCAATTGTGGTGATGGCTTGAGATATATCAGAACTGGAATTCGAAAGTAATTAACTGCATCAAGAGACCGTATTATTAATTGCATGTCGAAGGAACAAGCTCTGTTAGTGTATACATGTTCATGGACATACCATGCATAACTTTACTTAATTTGAATGCAGAGGTTGGGAAAACACGAACAAACGAGAGAAAAGTCAAATATTCCATGTCAACATATATTGGGAAGTGTCAGGAATGCAGAAACTGCACCCGGCCTTGTCCAAAAAAACAACCCGGTACAGTGAAGCCGAACAGTTTGCCATTGTCGCGAAATCAAGTCACCGTAACATAACAATTAATTATGAAACGATTCTTCCGTAAAACTATTTGGGTTAGGCTGGACAGAATAAGTAAATCTGTGTACTTGCAATAATGAAAGTTCAATTTTGGGGGAAGACATTTTTTTTTTGAAATGTTTTCGTGACATTCAAATATTTACACGTAAATGTAGATTTGAACGGAACATAGATCCCCGGGCCTAATCCCCGAAACGTAATAATAAAATGGTCTCGGATCTGTACGTGAAGATCACAAAGATTAAACAATTTAACAAAGAAATAATATACACCTATGTACATGTAAATTCGCCAATTTCAATGCAGTTATTTTGCAGGCAATGACTTTTGTGACGAAAAAAGTAGTTTGACGAAGGGTATAGGGATGGCGCGCTGCTGATGTGCATACATTTATTTAGAAAAGCTAAGGATGTATTGACCCAATCCGGTAGATTTCAATTGCCCAGCACTCGTTCCAGCGTACAATATGTATCTAAGTGAGTAGCAATTTAGAGACTGATGACATTCGCTTCGTTTAACATTCTTCAAAAAGACGGAGTCTGGTGCGCCGCTCGATCGATGATGATGAACAAAAAAGCATACCAGACTAGTGACTGTGCTGAAGCATTGTGCATTGTGAATTCATGGCGACTGAGATCGAGACTAGGAGGAGACCAGTAGCCGTCTACCTGTCGTGTCGGGGTATATTGTATACACCATTGTCATTTCTGCCCGAGTAGATGGGTTCATGGTTCGTCATTCCCAGGTGGCTAGCTTGCAAGTCTACTGATATGGGAGTCTATTCTCGAAGGGTCAGTTTTCCTAAAATCAACAAATTGTTACGGGCGCTTTATTGTGATCGCCATGGACCAACACAATACAACCAGGACTGAATCGGCCGTCCATGCTGAATTCCTGTTTGTTCTTAGGGGGCCAAAAAGTACAATACATTAACAAAGAAGAATTGTACAGTTTATCACAAAAAGGGATAGGTTCCTAAGTTTTATTATGATTTATTTCCCAAAGTAAAGCTTGTCCTGCGGCTGTGTTAAATAATTGCTTTAAAAGAGCCGGCCCTAAATTGCGCTTTATTAGGAGGGCAAAATAATTGTGCGCCCGGGGTGACCAAAATTGCATTGAAACCACTGTGACAAAAGTGAATACTCTCAACCTTTTAAATGTTTAGTTCGGCCTTTTGATATACCCCCGAATTTGACGTATTGGTGTAAAAGTCCGCCTTGAAATTAGTTAACAAACTGACCTTGTTTTTGGTTCACGAAGTTAAAGAGTAGGGCCCCGGCCCAACACAATGAATGACTTCGCTATGCAGAAATGGAGAAAAAAACCCATACAACTGTACAGTGTTAGAAAATTCCAAGTTGTGTAAGCACCTAGCTTGATTCTCATCAGTTTCTGTCATCGACTTCAGCAAACTGTCACGGCTTATCCCACTCGTAATAATGGGGGGGGGGGGAGCTCCGCCTACTTGTCTTCAAACACTTACTAAATCTCGTCCTTACAACCCTACACTTCAAAGACCCTTCAAGATGCTTCCAAACCCCCATTTACACCCTACCGAGATGCCCTAAAATGCCCTCTTGCTGGACAGTAGGGGGATCTGCATCCAGCACAAGACGAAGTGGAAATCCTTACCACCTCAATTCACAGGCACCTTTCACTCCCGCTGAGAGGGTTTTAACCCTCAACTTAGTATGCTCTGAGTTGTTGTGTTATCTGGCCCCTTCTCTTGGTATAACAAAGGCATTTTAGCCCTGCATGTTTTCTGGGGTTTTCTTTGTTTGAAAAGTCTCGCTGGGTTCGCGGTTTGGTGGACGGTTTTACGGTCAGCAAATAAATTGTGATGAGTTGTGAACATCGTCACTATTATTATGACAGGAAGTCCAGAGAGCTATTCAGTGGTCAAGTTTGACACGCAAGATCTATTCTTTGAACAAAGCGTGTGAGCCACAGTTTTGTTATGTCCGTAGATCTATACGGACCACGTCAATGGGATCAAACTGATGCAACTATCCAGAAAATGTTTCTTAATTGAACAAACACTGAATTAACTTCATATAGCCTCGAAGTTCGATAATAAATGACCCAAGTTTCCATCAGCGTTGCCCTGTTTTGCGATGTATTTTCAAACGGTAAACTGTACATTTGCAACTGTTTCTCCCCGTTAATAACAGACGCGTTTGCAACTAAACGGCCGTTGTTATACATGTAGACATGTGCAGCTCCTCTGAAGACTGTTACATCGCACTTATCGAAACGTAGAGGTCAGTGGTTCTGTTCTACCAGTACCACAAACTCTCTTCTCATTGTTCTTCTTCAAGTCTACTCATGTGACGTACGTGCATGTACATCCACTTTCAATAAAAAAGTCTTCCTGATAGTACTAGAAAACATTCATACATCTATTAATTAAAAAGAAACTTCAAAATTTACCCAATTGAATGTTTTTGGCATTTGATACCGGTACTATTTCTTTTTAATATTTCATGCCGCGTATGTACACGAATTGCCTGTGACGAACCTGGTCGACTTAAACTCCCAAAATTCAAACTTTGATCCCGCTATTCAGACGGTGTATGTTTTGTTATTTATTAATAAATACATTTGTTTGGTCTGTATGATATCGGATTGGGGTCAAGAGGGGCACTGGAAAAACTGTTTGTGCATTTTTTGGGTCTGCATTGTGACATGTACTATGCCCTATCCCTTATAGAAAATCACCGGGAAGATTGAAAATTTAACTGTGAGGAAAACAAAAATCAAGATTTTGAAACATATGTAAACATGATTATCTATACTGGTATACAGGCCTATGTTGACGTACTACATGTAGACTGTCTTTAAAACCCTCATTAATTGCATGGTTTATGAATCAAATATCCCATTGCACATAATAAATATCTGAGCAAAATTTAATAGAACATGTTTTTTTTTTCATTTGTGAAAGCTGAAGGTAGCTCTCATTTTAGTGGCGCGTTTTTTGCATTCCTGGGGTGTTTTTCATACGGATAAAATGTATTGGTTGACGCGCTGTGAATACATGGCTGTATGCACAGATAACCATAATTGGTACTCCTAGTGATTATCAAGTACACTCTTGAAAAGAAAATTGTTGGGCAGAGCGACCAAAGTACGAGACAAACAAAATGGTAACCTCTAGCACTGTAGCAGTGCTGAATTCACAGTCAAAAGAACTAGTTTCGAGAATTCAACGCTTCCACGATTATAAAATAGTGCAAATAGAGTTTACCATGAATGGCAAATTACAATTTCACCATGTCAAAGTTTTTCATCCAGCTCAAAAGTTTTATTTCTAATTCAGCACGTAGATCTCCATGGGTGGTCTTGTAAAAAAAGTTTAACTAACTCCCTAGCATGATTATGCTAGGAACTATACCCATCCTGGCAAATGCCAACATATGGAAAACTGCACATGTAAATGTAAAAGACTGTCAGTACTTTAGGGGTACTGTTCCCATCCTGACAGATTGCTAACAAAACCCTCCGTCGGGGTTGGATGGGTTGAGTTCTGCTAGGTTTAATACCGACCGACTGAATATAGTCTATCGGGAAAAGCATGGAGGAAGGCAAAGAGACAATAATTATGTGAAAGCTGAAAAGACCCGGGCGTGTTGTAAACCCACAACCTGGTGTACTTTTCATTAAAACCCATGCCGGAAGCCGTCCAGCAAAGAGCGGTAGCGAAGGTGTATGAACTGTTTCCGTCCTGTGTGTCCGAATTGATCCGACAGCTGAAAGAAAGACAGCCAAGACACGCTATATTGGCAAGAAAGATAGCTAAGACACGCTGTATTGGCAAGAAAGACAGTTGAAACCTTCTGTATATATGCATTACAAGCCTCAAGTCATGCATGTGGACAACTGTGAGCAGACAAAAAGAGAGAGAGAGAGAGTACCAAGTTGTGAAAAACGCCTTCCTCGTCTTTGTCGAATTAACAAGCGATTCGTTTGTGTTTTGGGCCACACAGATACACACAAAAGTATTATTCGCCTTCCCCTTTTGAGTTTCCACAAGTCTTAGGAGGCACTGGACTACGACTGAGAAATAATTAACGCTCAGTTAATTGTTACAAAGAAGCCATGGAACCGTTAAGTAAACGTGATTAGCCCCTATTTAACACAACCCGATGCTTCAGAGGATTTCTCACGCTTGGGAAATTATGCAAAACGGTCATCGCGTGAAAGAACACATCGTGTTTAATCGGAAGCGCCTGACTATTGGACGGCCTGACCTGCCGCCAAAGATTTCTCTGATTAAACGGACCCATGCCTTCATGTGAAACGCCAAAACACAACAGACGTAAAACCTAATCTATCGGCGCTATCAGGCGTTAATTGCTGGCGAATAATTTAACGAGATTCGCCCTGGGAAGCCATTGATCTCAATCATCCCATCGACCTTTTAGATAAGACCTCAATCCAAGCGTCTGTCAAGTTGTTTGTCAGGAAAATGAGGCGAGGAAACAGTCCAGCGATTCCAATTAAACCCCAAACCATGAACTATCTTTATCTTCAGATTTTCAAAATTAGCCAGTGTCCTTGCTTGGTACATGCAATGATGTTTATAACATTGGCATTGCCGAAGCTTACTTTGAGCCGTCTATCACAGTTTGTTATTGTCTGGCTCTCACTTTGCTGTCCTTCCCCCTGATCTTCCCAAATCTTCTAGATAATCCCGGATCTTTTATAAAATTTGATTAAACAACTGCAACCACTCACCCTGAGGTCTGCTTCTTCTACAGCCTCTGATCTCAAAATCCTTAAGATAATGCTAAATCTCTTACAAACTTTGATTAAACAACACCAGTCCACTCAGTCCGAGGTCTACTTCAGCTAGAACTAGAAGGCACCCTCCGTTCTTCCCAAACCCTTAAGATAATCCCGGATATTTTATAAACTTTGATTAAACAACACCAGTCCACTCAGCCCGAGGTCTACTTTCAGAACAAGAAGGTACCCCTAATCTTCTCAAATCCACAAGATTATCCCAGATCTTGTATAAACTTTGATTAAACAACGGCAGCCCTCTCAGTCCGAGGTCTTCTTAATCTAGTTCTAGAAGACGCCCCGTCACGGGCTGGCCTTAGCTCTAGAAATTCCATTCCAAATGGCAACATATTGTTAATTCAGATCATAAAAAAATTATTTCGAACTGCAACGATCATTTCCTCTAAACCAGCGTTTGATTCATGTTTTCATAATATAGCTACTTGGCCAGGTACTTGGCTAGTAAGACCGTGATCGATTTCAATATTTTTCTATCATCGATTCTCCACACTCACTCAGTCGGTCGTCCGTGTGTTTTTTTCGACGGTATTGCAAAACGTAGTCTCAGCATGGAGCTTTAAAGCTTGCCTTTGAAGTTTCTGGTTCGTCCACAGAGGAAAGCGTCGCCTTTTCTCATAAAGCAAACATTGCAACTCTATACCGGCACTCGGCAGACAAAATTAAAAACGGCTCTCTTTTATAAATCCCATACTTGTACAGGTATATTTCGCAAGTTTGCATCAAGTTCTTGCCCTTCATGAAAATCTTTACACAGTTTATTACGAGTCTCGACGACCTTAGCAATTGGGGAAAATCAGAGAAAGAAACCAGCTAAAGACAGTTGTTCTATTAATATACCTGGCTCACCAAAAATACATTTTCAATCATCTTTATCTATCCGTCAACGTGGCTGTTACCGCGCAACGCTTGTCAGCATCTCGGCAAGATGTTGCCCGGCTTTTCTTCCTAATTGACACACCGGTAGCAACACTAATTACCAACAGGATTTGTTAGCTTAGCATGTATACCAGCCTAGTATAAGCTACTACAATTTGCTTAAAATTTTAGAGATTACAGTAAACGGTATTGCACGTGCACACTATATTCTTATCGCGTCATTAAACTGTTCGGTTTGCATTATATTTTTGTAACGGCGGATTTGCATTGATTTTTCACTTCGGTGATGTTATAACGAATTCACTCAAAGGTATACGATACATCTGAAATCATGAAGTATTGTATTTATGAAAAATAAATAAGACTTACCCGACTCTTGCCTTGGTTTGGAGGAAACCTTCCCCGCATTTTTCATCGCACCTTGACTAAATCCAACCAGCATCATTAGCGCTGCAGACACCAAGATCGAACCGATGGGCTGTAGAACACGTAGCTCCATGGTTCAGCGATAGAACGGGGAAAAAAACCGACTTCACGTGAAACGATTTTATCCTCGACTTGAAATCTTACGAAAGGATGAAACGCATCTTGTGTCAAGAAGTGGGTGCCAGAATTTTGACATTCGACTCGGGACACATGGTTACAATGCAGATCGAAAACGGGGTAGTTGAACTGGAAATGTCAAAATGTTCTGATGCCGAGGTGAGTGATGACAAATGGTTATCACTACGAGATCAGTGTAAATGTCCACGACTGATCCGAAATCACTACACGCACGTACGTTTTGATATGCCTGCAATATCACACGTGCGTAATGGATGAATAACCCGAAATGTACATGTACAGTACATGTACTATGTACATGTACAGTACACTGTGTATACACACGGTATACACACGCGGCATTGTACAACGCGTCGGTCAATCGCACTCAACCGGTACGTGCGTGTCACTCACAATGACACGGCGCGCTGATTATCAACCAATCAAATCTCGCTAAAGTTAGTGGGGGCGTGGTCAGGAACTGACATTGGCACCTCGTGGAACAGGTGCAGAAAAAAATCGGCGGCCAATTTCTTGGGGATGCTAATCAGAGAAATTCGCTTAACATGAAATATTGGCTGACAGCCAAAACCAGCCAAAATATCATATGACGATCACTGCTTTTTGGCTGGTTCCCAACCAATTTATGCTAAGCATGTACATTTGCTGGGAAATTTTTTCCTGCATAACATCTGCATAAAATTGGGCTCAGAACATGTGCCATGGAGTGGCATTTCCAAACACAGTCTATTTTATTCACTTATATGCATTAATTAAAACTGACTTGAATACCTCATATTTTTGGGGGAATTCCCCCCCCCCCCCAAAAAAAAATTTCTCTCAATTTATCTCGGTGAAATGAAAAATACAAGTGGTCATTCTAGAAAATGGTGGCTTCTCTTGTTTTTCTTTGAAAATAAAATAAATAGGCCCTAGTCTAAAAAGTAAGGCAAAAAAAAAAAAAAAAATCTGCTTCCGATTACATGGCATTTGAAAATAGGGTAGGTACTCGTAGGTAGGTACTCAAAGGTAGGGATTTTTTTTTTATGGCCAATTTCTTTTTGCGTACGATCATATGGAGGTGTCTGCGTGTAGTCAAGGGGAAAAGGTAGTAATTGATGGTTTTCGGGTTTTTCTCACTCATATTTCTCCCTCAAAGAATTTAGGGTTGGGGCTGTCAATAGAAGGTAGGTAGGGTAACCGGAAGCAGAACTTTTGGGGGGGGGGGGGTGGGCTAACTAAATATTGAGCTTGTACAGATGAGTTCATATATACCCACGCATTTTCAACCAGTCTCTGACCCTATCTCTAACGCATTCCGTCAGCATGTACAATTTCCAACTGATCAAGATGATATTTTGATGACACTTTTTAAGATAAGCAGACCTCTAAAATTCCTGTACTGCTCAACCGTAATGTAATATTTCCTTTCAGTCAGCTTGTCAAGTGCAGCAGGTGACCTTGATAAGTGTTTTGAACTGTCTCTGTAAATCTTCACGGGACTGAGACTGCAAAATGAAGGAAATCAAAGTGGCTTCCTAAAGTATACCACAACACGCTCAGTGACACATAAACATGTTGACTTAATGTTGGGAGTGGGAAGTGGGATGAATTTGGTAAATGCTTTGAGCAGATAAGCTGCATGTGTTATGCCCATCAGCATGGCTAGTTGACTTCCAATGGGCATTTTCTTTTCAATTTTAGAAATTGATTGTGTTTATTTGCATGCAACATCTGGCCTATTGCTTTAATAGTCTCGAAGGCTATAACTATAAGGCTTTAAGTTGAAATGTCAATTGCACACATTTAACACCTTGCGATTATGAAAACGTCCTTATTGTTACCCTTTGTTACAAGGGGGTCAATCACTTCTCGAAAGTAGGTGGGGGCATACCTTGATCAGAACTAATGCGAGCACGAAGGGCGAAGCCCTTACGGCATTTGTTTTTAGCAAAAGATCATCATTTAAACATCAATTTCGAGTTTGGAGTCATTGAATCAGCTATTCTGAGCTATGGAATGAAATATAGGCTACAATTTTTATTTGTGGACAATTTCTGGTCTATGAGTTTACTACTTACAGTCTCAAACTCAAATTGTTATTACCAAGATCTTGTCAATGTTGATTTACAAACACCGTGATTCAAATTATAAATCTGGGTGTCAGTTTGAAAATCAACTTATGACTTCTGGCTTGAATGTGGCCACAGGGTTTGCAAAGTTGAACTTGAGAGCACTTTAAGAGCCAGCTCAAGTAGGATTAGGAAGTTGTATTTCATGTTCCTTTTTGCTCTGCAGTTCCATGGTATTTATAGCAAGCCTTTGAGCCTATGGGGTCAGAATATTTCCTCCAGCACATTGGTAAAAAAAGTCTAGAAGAAATTACTCGCCAAATGTACAGCTGTCACACTCCCCAAGATGGCATAAATTAGCTCTGAAATATGCGCTGGATCCGTTCAGGTTGGCAGGTTTCCTCTCATGTGAAAATTCTTAATGAGCGTCAGGGGTCCTGGGCCCATAAAGGAAGCACTATTACCAGTCCATGCATTGGTTATTAATTACATTTGCCCATTCATTATTTCAGGGGTTGTTGAAAGGGTGAGTTCCATGGGGTACGTTTTTATGGTGGCAAGTCATCAGGTTTTCTTCCAGAATTATTGCTTGTAACTTGAACTGAAGACTTTATTGGTCATGAATTCAACATTTTTTTTATTTAGTGGGCAGGTGGTCTTGAATCTTGAAATGTTGAAATAAAGGTATTTCAACTTGAGTGGATTTATTGATTTTGAACTTTTTACCTTTAAAAGACCTATTCACATGAACACTTCCTCCAAGCTCTGGAAAAAATAGAGAGCTTTGTACAGTACTATTTATAACCATGCTGACATCAAATGTTATTATCTTGGCACTATTTTTTTTAAAGTTCATTAAATCATTGACATCGTCAAGCCCATTCTTTAGTCTTCAATCTAATTTTACTGACAGTCATCAACACAGAGGTAAGGAGTTGGTCTTTGAAAGTCCAAGCCTCAACCCTAATATATTTTGAGATGCCCTTTTTTTTTCAATTTAAAGTTTTTGTTTGTGTCCAAATTTCAGTGTTGGAGCACTCGTACTAGTACTCGTACTCGAGTACAACTCGAGTACACACAAGTGCTCGGCCCGAACTCGACTATCAGTACTCAAAAGTTATTTGGACTTGGCCCGTACTCAACTCTTTGTTCTCGAAGTTTGCACGGACTCGATGGTTTGGTACTCGGTACTCGACTCCAGTACTCGGGAGTCCAAATCGAGTGCATTTCTATTTGTTCATTGTTTTTTTTCACCCTTCTGTAGAACAATGACAATATATGTATATAAAATAATGGTGCATGTGCTTGTGTTATCGTTGCATTGTAGTTTGAATGCAACTTCATTACCCAATGGACAAACAATTAACATCCTTATCAAAGTCAACTGGATTTCAAGCACTTCAGAGAGCGCAAACCTCCGCCCAAGGCTAAATAATTTTCCGCTATATTGTCAGTACACCCAAAAGAAATAATCACATAACTGGTGAAGAATCCTTAAAAAATCCGAATCACTTCCAAAATCTAATCTTTTTGTACTTGTACCAAGGACCACCCCTAAGAACAATTTCATGCAAATCCGTCCATAACTTTTTGAGTTAGCTTGTTAACAGAGGAACCAACACACCAACCAACCAACAAAATCCGATAAAGTGGAGGTAATCATTCAGAAGTTAAACTACAGTCTCCAGTTCTTGCAGAATTAATCTAACTTGCATTTTCATGAAGTCATGCTGAATACACCGGGAACATTCTGTCACACGATTGATCAACACATTTGAGTAGAACTGGGCCATGCACAGAGCACTTCTCTAAATGTAGTCCAGACTTCCATGGATATGTCAGTTTTTATTATTTTTAAGCAAAAAGCCTTTAGAAAGCTGTCAGTTCTTGTATTTCTCCAGGGGAATAAGTCAGATTTATCAGATTAAAACTGAATGAAGCCAGGTTAACAGCGGTCCATTAATTTATGCTAAACATTTGTTCTTATAACAATGGACATTGATTCCTGAAGAATGCATTCTAGATTTGCCTCAAGAAATGTGCAATTTGTGACCAACTTGCAGTAAAAATCTTCAGTTGAACTGATCGATTTTGTCTTTTCCTCAGCACTGAAATATGACTTTAAAACCCTTCAAATAGTCTATTGGGACCTACTCCATCTGACAACCCAACAGTGAGGCTTCAGAATTAAGAAATAGTGTTTCGATCAATGTTCAGATTTGCAATATTTGATTTGACAGACCTTAGTGTTGGATTGCGACTTTTATTTGCTGGATTTTGGTTTTCAGTGTAATGAAAAAAAGGTGAACATTTGAATCAAAGACATTCTGGTAAAGGGTCCCCTTTTTCTGTCCCTGTCATATCTGACATCAGGGATTGTGTACTTCTGGAGTCACTCTTCCAAGAGTGATTATGAATAGCAAACTACTTAACTCTCCCCCCCCCCCCCAAAAAAAAAAAATAATAATAATAATAATTATTACCCTGGATTGGACATTTGGGAGACATCCCCATAGATTTGTGCACAAAAGTTTTCAAACTTAAATGTGCCCTAACCCAATATTTCCTTGTCCTTTTTCCACGAATTTCAGTATGTTTACTAATTAGACCACAAGCAACAAATATAATCTAATTGCGATGGCAAAATTTTGCCTCTAAAGGGGGGCTGTAACATTAGGGAGACATGAAAATGTCTCCCTAATGACCGATGTCTCCCATTGTGCGAAGAAATTACGATAATGTGTCTCCTTAATGGTATTGTTACACGTATAACATGAATGGCAAATCAAAAAGTTTAGAAGTAACGGGGACATGAAAAATGTCACACTTTAGACCCTACAAATATAGAATGACCCATGGATTTGTTTCCAATTCTACCAGCTTTAAATTGTGTATGAGGGAGGTTGGGGGCCAACCTTGGAAAGCTGCCTAACACATTACATGTCTGCGTTCACCATAAAACTGTGAGTTATCAAGTAGACTGATTTGACCATTGGGATATTTATGGCACAGTTTACTCTTGCGGCCATAAAGTGAAACCCTCACACCAATTAGTGTCTGTTTATGACCAATATATCTATCATCAAAGTCAATTTTGCATGTCTGTGTTTCTGTCTCTGTGAGCTGTGAATCTTGCAAGGTTTTTACCATGGAAGGACCCTACAAAAGTTTTATCAGAATCCACAAGATTTTCATCAGCTATTGTTGTCCCCCCAGCCGGGTTTTGTGCTTTTGTAGCCTTCACATTCTTTTGTTTCAAGGGGGAGCTTTATATTGGGACA